TTGAATTTCTCTCAGTGTAGCTAGAAACATGCTATAAACAGGCGAAGGTCACAAAACTTGGTCCCCCTCACTTCAATAGTGCCAACGGTTTTTGTGGTTTCTTTACGATTGTTCTTCTCTGGGCTAGAGATAGCTAGAGCTGTGAGCTAGAGCTTAGCGGATTTCAATAAAGTGAAGTTAGTCAAAGAGAGGCAACAGGCGCCTTCAGAAATCGCATATTTTTCTATCTCTTTTTGATTATTTACTATTCTAAAAAGTTTTGCGCTTGTTTCAAATGTAGAACCAGAGCAAAAACCAGAGGTAGAACCAAAGTAGACTTTTGCCACAGCAGCGCCATCTGAGGTCTTCCCTCTTTTATGACCACTTTTCAATAGACGAAGGTACAGACATGACCCTGATCACAAACAATGATCAAAAAAAAAACGGCGTCAGCGATGACCATGAAATGAAGAAAATGTCATCGATCGTCATTTCCAAGCCAACTGGACGCCGACTTTTTTGATCATACGGTATTTCCTCTTACCTCTATCCTCCATACAAATCGTCTTTGCATAAATTATTTCATTCGTCTATTGCTATATTGTCTATACTACAATATGGTCGAAAAAACGGCGTCAGCGATGTCTCTGAAATGAAGATCGCTGTCATAATATATTTGAAATGTCATCGATCGTAATTTCCAAGCGAATCTGACGCCGTTTTTTTATATCTGGAATGCGGGGTGTCCTAAATTAATTTAACTCCAGACCACGGACTTGGGGTGATCTGTATATACAAGATGAGTCTTAAAATAAGTGCAAATATTTTCAGGGTTGGTAGATCTCTATAAAAGAAACATATTTTCTCTTCGCCATTTTTCAAATAAGTCCAAAATAACCGAGCTATTTTACTTTGAAAAAAATATATATATTTTTCGCTTACATTTTAAGAACTGCTCGATCTTTTCGGAATTTTCTTTTTTGTGAATTTAATCTACTACCTATGCTGTCATATTATGAAGACATCTATCGAAGATATTATATTTTTTAACTAAGAATTAAACAAATTTCCAAAACTTTTTTAATTTTTTTCGCGAAAAAAAACAGACGTGTTTCTGGAGTCGAAATATTACCACCAAGATACTACCCCTAAAAATATTTGCATTTATTTAAGACTCACCCTGTATATACAAAGCCATTTTGTTTTTTTTTATCCTGTAAAACTATCTTTAGATTCAATTAAAGATACTGTGCAAGATAAGATATTCCCATATTTCTATAGTCTGCCCAACGACTTTCCCAAGATTTCGACATCTTAAAAATTGAAAAAAAAAACAATTTATCTTGGGCAGGCTATATTCCCCCTAGTTTGATTTTAGTATTTTAAAAATACTATTCTTATAGGACCCATAAAATATGTAACAAAACAAATAGGAATACTTTTAAATTTTAATTAAAATCTAATGACATTTTATTTCTTGGCGCTAGCTTGTCTCTCAGCTTTTCTTTGAGCGGCTACAGCGTGCTGTCTTTTTGTACTCAAATTATGCCTTTTTGAGAAGCGCTGGTTTTTAAGAAACTTGGCATCCATCTGAAATAGAAATTAAAACAAGAATAAATATCTAGATTTAACAACGACGTTTTGTGCATTACGAAACCCCATCATCAATGAATCAAATCAAAAAATCGTCCGAGGAAATTTGGTTTGGCAATAGATTGGACCAAGGTCAACTTGACCATGTATGACACGATATGTCAATGTGACCTGTGACAGTTAAGGTACATTCAGGCTGTGAGCGTCGCGTCGCGTTTGCGTCGCGTCCGCGTGTCGAAATGGAATCAATTCACTTAACTTAAATTAGACCGTTCAGGCAGAGAGCTGCATCGCATTTGGTGTTGCGCTAGCGTCCGCTGAGCGTCAGGGTTCGAGTTCAATGGGGCGGGCGCGACGCAAACGCAAACGCGACGCGACGCTCGACGCTCTCAGCCTGAATGTACCTGTAGTTTTAATGGAACGAACGTAAACGCTGGAAGTACTCACTCGACGAGACGACCCGAGACGCAACAAAATAAACGGTTCTAATCAATAGCCGCATGTATACCGCTAATTTTTTGTCGCGCCTCGGGTCGCCTCCGCGAGTGTGTACTTCCAGCATAAATGGATGTCCGATCGCGACCAAATTTGGTGGGTAGGCCATGTGAGCGCCGGTGCCCAACTTGCAAAGTTGGATACGACGTTTCGTTTACATCATCATCAGGGTAGGACTAACGATCTGATATCGAAGAAAAATGTGGGTCAATTTTGGCTTAATTGCGGACGGGCTACAGGAAGTCGCCCTCAACGTTTCGAACCGATGCCTCATGGACGAAATCATCAGGATTTTTCTTAGTCGTGGGTCGATTGGAACCAAACTAGGCACGTGGATACAGGTATCCGAATTGAGTGCTCAGATGGACAAACGGGCAGACAGACCCGGAAGTAAGAAGTTTCACTTCACTTTTTTTTTGAAGTTAAACTTCTTTACGCGCGCTGGGAGTAAAAAATGATGGCCGCCACACACTAGCTAGCGTCACGACACGACCCGCGTTATACGAGCTAGTGTGTTAACACTAGCTTGGTTTACCACTTTTTCGATCGTTAAACCAATGAGGAAGGGATGGGATGAAGGGATGAAGGGAAAGGATGGGTCTTTGGAGTGTCGTAACACGGGCCCTATGTGAGCTAGAGGGCTGAAACTCGGAATGTAGATGGGAATTTAAGAGCAGAGTCCACACGGTTAACTGTGGATAACTAATACCTAAAAAAGTTTTTTGTTTCCTCTGTGAAAACAGGTTTTGGGTACTTACGAGGTTTTCAAAGCAATGTATCTATGTTACAGATAAAGTCCGGTGTTCGGTTAAAGGTAAGCGCACATTCATCGGAAGCGGACGGACGGCACGCAGCGCATTTTTAAAGCATAGACGCACCGCATTTTTAAAGTCCGCCCGCTTCCGATGAATGTGCGCTTACCTTAAAATGTCGACATTAACAGGTTAATGCAGTGGTTTCCAACCTTTTTGTACCTGCGCCCCATTTAAAAAAAATGTTGCGCCGCGCCCCCTTAATTTTCCTAACAATCTAATTTCATAAATACTTAACTGATATTATAATTTATTTAATGGACTACAAAATAATATACAATATTATGTAAAAATATACATAAAAAATAATTATTTATTATAAGAAATAATAATTTAAATGTAATAAAAACAAATCTTACAAAAATACTGGTAAATTTTTGGTTTGTATTTGAAAATGATATTTTGGAAACAGCTGCATGCCCCCCTTGCAACAGTCTCAAGCCCTCCTAGGGGGGCGCGCCCCACAGGTTGGAAACCACTGGGTTTTTGGTTGTTTTGTTGTGTTTTATTCTCGAGATTAACCGGCTAATGTCGATATTAACCGAACATCGGACCTTAACCGTAACATCTATATCCTGAGAATATTTTGTTGTATGTTACAGTTAAAGTCCGATGTCCGGTTAATGTCGACATTAACAGGTTAATGTTTGGGTTTGGTTATGTTTTTGATTGTTTTGTTGTGTTATTCTCGAGATTAACCCGGTAATGTCGACATTAACCGGACATCGGACCTTGACCGTAACATATACATTGCAAGGAGTCCCAAAAAAGTAATGACAAAAACTTAATGTTTTGTTTTGCAACTGGCATTTTTTTTAACAAAGTTGGATTCAGTTTGAAGCGTTATGCAGTGTTTGGTTTGGTTTGGTTTGAATACCTTGTATAATTATTACATTTTTAGTTTCTACAATTAAAATAAAGGTGATTTTGATTAAAGTTTGCCGCACTTTAATCTGACCGTTTTTGAAATATTTACGTTATTGTGAAAATACAGTAACAAACATCAATGCTTCTTCTCTAGGCGTATTTATGTTTTTAAAACCAATTAGTGTACTGAAATTTCTCTATTTACTAAGTTTTGTGTTGCAATAATAAAAATTAACTACCTTATAGAGAGTGTCTGAAATTTTATTTTAAATGATTACCAGCTTTATTGCCAGCTTTAAACGACAATAACTTGTTTAATTTCAATGGAACACCCTGTATATTTTACGAGAATCAGATGCACAATTTAATTGTCTATCAAATTGTATTATACCACTTTTAACTACCTCTTTGTTTTCGTAGAAAATGTTCTCATGTTTTCGTAGAAAATGCATTTTCCTGTAATTTAGACCTCATTTTATCAATATACCTATGGAATATTAACATTTTAGATTATTTTTGAAGATGTAACAAATTTTCAAAGAGTACCAGATACTAATATTGTCGATATAGTTCGCTTATTTCGTTAATAAAAAAGTGGTTAAATACTTGTATTATATTAATACGTAGTATAAATATTTGTATTAATACATATAATAATAGTATAAATATAAGTTATTTCCGTTTAAAGCTAGTAATTATATTAAATATAAATATAAATTTTTAGACACTCCGTATAAAATAGTATAATTATTGTTAGTGCAATATTTGTATTATACAATATTTTTTTTCCATAATTGGTTTTAAAAACTTAAATACGCCTAGAGAAATGAAGCATTAAAATTGTTACTGAATTTTTACAAAATCGTAAATATTTAAAAAATGGTAAGATTAAAGTGCAGTAAACCTTAATCAAAATTACCTTTATTTTAATCGTACAAACCAAAAATGTAATAATATACAGGGTATTCAATTTAATAAAATACAACTTTGATATTTTTTATTTGGGACACTTTGGGAAAATAATTTTAAATTGTAGCTTTAGTAGTCCTCCAACGATCCCATCACTCACAATTTCTAAAAATCTAACTTAATGGCAACAGTATTCCGTGTCGTATGAGGTGAATAACCCTGTATACTTTCAAAGCTCAAAAAAATCTTCAATTACTTGCCCTGCGTCACTGTATATATGTAGGTATTTTTTTTCTCAAACTTTACAACTAAAGGTACTTTTGGTTTAATAAAAAAAAATAGTCTTAATATTCGAATTTTATATATTATACATTTAACATTAAATGGCCATATTATTTAGAATAATTGGTAAAACTGGTACAAAAAATGTCTTCAAAAGAACATAGAACATATAAATACAGTTTAAAGTTAATATTTCAAACTCTTTGGTGGTACATAATCTGGATCATCATCTAATTGAACTTCGCTTTTATCTGCATTAATGGCAGAAATAGTATCTAACGACGACTTAGTTTGAGCATGTAATTCTTCGCTTTCGATGTCGCTAGAATCTAATGTAGCGTTCATATTGGAGACGTCACTAGGCAATCTATCCACAGACAAGGTTCCAGGTTTCTTTGACAAAATTATTTTTGTGTATTTCAGTGGTGGCCTTGACGCTGCCGACATAGGATTGGATCGCTTAACGCCTGAAGTGGTCGGTTTTGTCACAATGACGTACTTATTCGAAATAGGATTCATAAATTTTGATACCGACTGGTTAGCCGCTTCATTCGTCGACAAGTCGTTGGGTACATTAGGATCCAATATCTGATTATCATCTGCAAATATAATTGGCAAGTCCATGATGTCCTGCGTCGATAGATTTGTAGGGGGAGGCAAAGTGGTCTTAACTGTTTGTGGCAAAGATACAAAAGTGTCTCTTTTGACGGTTCTTGAAGACATGGTGCCCTGTAATCTTTTGGAAATTACATACTTATTCATTTTTTGTGAACCTTTTACTTGTGGCACTGATAACATCATCCCACTTTGAGTTTTCATGTTCATCGGTCTGACTGAATTTACACTTTTTATCTTCCCATCTGGAAGAAGTACCAAGTTACCTCCACTATTTTTTTGTGTGGTCAAACTGAGCTTAGATAAGTCAATCGGACAACCTCCAGGACTAGAAATTAATTTTGCTGTCGCTTGATTTGATAACTGAACATTTTCTAATACTTTAATTGTAGATGAAGGATTTATACGAGTTTGTGGTACAGATGAAGAGTATGTACTGACGCCACTTTGAAGGAGCGTTGACAACTGACTAGATGAAACTACTGTCGTTCGGTTTATATTAAATGGAATTCCACTGGCATCTTGTTTTAAACCCACTTTCAATCCAGATTTGTCAACTATATCACTGGAGAGTAATGGTTTTAAAGTCTTAATTTTTTTAACTGGTGGCTGCTGATCAGGCTTTTGTGGAGATGTGTTAGAAAATGCAATATTTTCACCAACAGAGACAGTGTCTGATGAAATAGGCATAAAAGTATTAATATCTCCTTTGGAGTTCAATGTTGATGTTGTAATTGGAGATATATTAGTGGGTTGTTTCAAATTAGAAGCATCTTGCATTACCCATTTACTATCAAGCCGAGATTTTGCCTTTCCAGCTGGTCGCCCAACGGGTCGGGTTATTTTGGGCATTGGCGATGGTGGCTCACTTTCTACTGAGCTGGCTGTTGAATTATAACGTTTTCGTTCTCCTTTGCTCTTTTTCGCTACAATTTCTGTGGATATATTAGTGGGAGATTGACGTATTTGTGGGGGAAATGGTGATAAAATTAGGCCACTAATAAATTCACCAATTTCATCTGTGATACATTTATCAACAATACTCTGAGTTATCCCTTCTTCTCTTTTTTTCTTCTGACTTACAATTAAGTTGTTATCAGCTGATCCCACTACAATAAAACCTGTTTCAATTCTCATTCTTTCTCTTAAATCTTCCATGTCTTCTTGCAATGAAGTACTAGAACTTTGTCCAATGACAAATAATACAGGACACTGTAACTCTAGTATGCTATCATCTGGTTCACCCCTCCTTCCCTCTACAGTTAAAAGTGAGAACCCCAAACTAACCACACAAAATATATTCTCTACATGAGCCAACTGCAGTGCTAATGCTGCTCCTGCTCCTACACCAACTAAAATGATGTTTCTGTTAGGGCAACTTTCTCTTACTTCTTGAATTCTTCCTCTAGACAATGCAAACATCTGATCTATACAACTTGTCATTGTCATTCTGTGACTTCCAGAGTTAAAATTGGTAGGCACAGTGACAACTTGGCCCAGATGTGAAAGTAATGATACCCATCTTTTTTGCCTTTTAGTAACATGTGGTGAACATGGTACCAACACTAAAACTGGATTGCCAGGAAGCTTTTTTGGTTTATCTTGTACAAGACTACTTGCAACAGGGTCCCAAGGCTTTTTCAATAGAGAAACTAAGCTGTCATTACTTAAACATCCAGCTCTTGCACTAATATTTTGATTAGTTAACATAATTTCAACAAATTTAGGAATTTTTGCTTTCAATGTCTGCAAAATATCTAAATATAAAGCAATATGTTGCTGATCTAAACTGTCTAATAATAACTGATGCAACCACTGCAATAACTTTGAATCATAAGAAACTGCAGCAAATAGTCTCCTAGTTTTTTGAACAGCTTTATCAATTACTGTTCTACGTAGAATTGGTTCATTACTAACTCCTAATTGTGCTAATTTGGATAAATATAAACCATTTAAATTATTCACAAAACCATTAAATAATCTATGTTGTGAAGATGTCCAATTAATTTTTGAAACTTGCTCTTCCCAATTGTCATCACTATTGCTTTTTACTAAACTAGTATGTTTCTCAGATTCTTCCATTAAGTTAATAGCTTTAGTCATATCATAAGTTGGAGCAGTAGGTTCGCTTAAAAGTTCAATGTCAATATCACTATCATCTTTACAAGATGTAGCGTTAGAAAATAAAAATTTTGAATTGTAATTTTTGTCCATAAACAAGTTTTTTGTTGGTTTTAGAAAAGGCGATTCGGATTTCCAGTTCCATGGTCTTGCATAACAATGATCAGTAGCCACTAACCAGCTTTCCCTCTCAAAAGGATTTGTCATTTGGATAGGGTAAGTGTATTTAGCTTGTTCATTATCAGCAGACTGTTTAGGCTGCAACAATATAGATTCATTCTACTCTGGATATTTCGAAAGTTAAATTAAGATGTTCGCAAAAGGAAACAACAAAAATGTGAAAGTTTGTTGCTACAGAAATAGCATATTATACATTTATAAAACGATATTTTCCTTATACAAACATGGTAAAGAAGTTTATTAACAATACACACCTGCATTTTACTTCTTCACAATGTTATTTTCAAAATTTATTATTATTTAATATGTAAAAATAATAAAAATGATCTTGTTTTATGAACGCTCACAACAATGACATTCAGTGTCACCAACACCAGGATTTCAAAACATAATAAATATAAATCATATATAAATCCCCAGGTACAGAACAGCAATTTCTTTTTTAACCCGTAAAAAATTGGTTTGTAAACTGTAACTTTAACAAATTCCGAGAAAAGACATGATACCACAATATATAATAATGTAATAATAAGATATAATACATAAAAAAATGATAAATTAATTGTCTAAAAATATTCTAGGGCAAGCTTCATAAACACCATTAATGCATGTCATAAAAACGTGAATATTTAAAATCACAAATATTTAAAAATCTTTTTTGAATTAAAATAAAATGTTTTATAAGTACTCAGTACTTACCCCTAAAGTGGACTCATGACGAAATCTCTTTGGCTTCTTAATGCCATTACGGTGGGCTTTACGGTCTAAAATATAAAAAATTATAATATAGTATCGAATTTAATTAACAATCTACTTACTTTGATTATGATTTGTGTGATTCTTGGACTTGGCCATGGTTTCTATTAGCTATTCTTCCTAGAAAGAGCACAAAATCCAGTTATATTTAATACTAAAATTACAAAACTAGAACACTAATATACTAAATTAAAATATGAGATTCCAAGCTACTCATTAAAAAATAAATGAAATTCATTCCTTTTAAGATGAAATAGAATTTTGCAGATTTCATTTAATTATTAAATACAAACCTCTCTAGACAAATCAACAAACTTAAAAAGAAATCTTAAATCTAGGGAATTTTTATTTGGAACAATTCCATTTCCATCATGTTTCCATCTTGTTTAATGACAGCTGCAAATTTTGTTAGGTACTTTGGCGGCTTGGCATTGGTGTCATTGAGTACAAAAATAACAAACAAGAATAGACATACTCTAATTGTTAATTTTTTGCTAGAAAATGGAAAAGGAAACTCAAGTCTTTGCTTAAGTTGAGAAATAGTTGAAAACAAGAAAAGACTGAATTTTAGAAATATCAAAGAAAAATAAAAGTAACTTGAGGAAGGCAATGTGAAAATTATCTATTTACAAAGAAACATTTTGTGTAAAATTAAAGTGTGTTGTAGGATTTACAAGATTTTTATAAGCCTGTGTAGGTGACATTTATTATTTACTTAGAATTACTAGGATTTTTAAATATCCATTTATAAACAAAAAACTTAAAGTACGTTGCTCTTATTAATATGACTAATGTTTGCAAGAAATATTAGGTGATTTCCGGATAATTAACATATTCAAGCGATTTTATAATCTTTAAAAGTAACAATGGGGATGTAAAGATTATGGATTGGAATGGAATATCCTATGCAAAATTTCGATGTAGATGAAGAAACTGATTTCTTGTTAGGTCACCCAAGTCATGGGAATTTGGATATGGATGTTCATACTGCAAAAAATAATAGAAATCCTGTAAGAAAGAGAAGTTTAGGAAGGACAATATGCAGGTAAATACCTAGGTATTCATGTTATATTTACACAGTATGTCACTTAAAGACTTAAATCAGACTTAAATCCTCTTTGCTTAAATCAATCAGAATACTGCTATAGAATACTGCATATCAAATTAAATAGGTGATATCTCAGACCTGTGATATATACATATGCTTTCTTTTAAATGTTATTCTCTGTAGAAAAATATAATAGGTATAGTATTAAATTGTTGCAATTTAAAGTATTTTTAAGTGTGATAAAATAGTATGTATTAACCACGTTATTAACAAACGTTATAAAATTTCAAATGGAGTAATTTTAATTACTGTGTAAATATTTATAAATGTCAATATTCAAATTTCAATATTAATAGAACTCTCATGTATGTATTAACAAGCGTTATAAAGTTGCAAATGGAGTACTAATTTCAATTACTGTGTAAATCTGGTGTAAATATTTATAAATGTCGGTATTCAAATTTCGATATTAATAGAACTTCCATATGTGAATAATAATACAATATTTGGCAACATGGCAACTGGATAAGAAAATTAGCATGGTTAAGACGTATGTCGTGGATTGGATATACTTTGTAGTTTGAATGAAGGGATACCAACTATCTAATAATTAAAAATAAGTAAACACATGATTTTTGTCCTCCTTGGCCTCCTTGTCATATGGATGTCATATGTCATGTTATATTGACGATTGACGTTTACATACAATTACAAATTCTAAGTACAAATCAAATTAATCATCGAGATAGTTCTCTGATAGTTCTGTTGCTTTTATTTGGAATCTTCTTAATTTTCATTAGAAAATGTAAAACATTTATTTTTGACAAGCTTATTAACGGCGTAATTATGGATGTGGAATCTCAAAGTACAATTACAAAAACGTCGAAAGAGGACATACCTCTTATTTCAAAGGCGCAAAAAGATTCGTCATTTGGGTAAGAGTGGATTGATAAACAAATTTAATTTTTTTGTTGGTTTTTATATCGTTATATACATTTAAGATTGGTGCTCTAATAATTTAATAATTGCATTAATATATTTTTTATTGCAGCTGTTGGTGTTCTATATTCAGAAGATGTTGCAAGCCGAAAGAATTAAGATCGAGAAATATAAATTTAGGAAAATTAAGTTCAGGGCAATATCCAGCGAACGCCATACGAAATCAAAAATACAATATCATAACATTTTTGCCTATGGTGCTGTTTCAACAATTTAAGTTTTTCTTAAATTTATACTTTCTAATCATGGCTACAAGTCAGTTTGTACCAGATATTAAAATTGGTTATCTCTATACATATTGGGGACCATTGGTATGTTAATAGCACAATATGGGATATTGATTCTTCTTATATATTTTTATTTAAGATTATTATGAGATATTTTATTTTTAGTGTTTTGTTCTATTGGTTACAATATGTCGTGAAGCTATTGATGATCTTAGAAGGCATAAAAGGGATCAGGAAGTAAATAACCAAAAATGTAAGAGGTTGCTTAAGGATAAGAATAAACCATTTGAAATAGTAGCAGCTCATAAGCTAAGGGTGAGTTAAGCCCCGTTCTCAGAACTATGTTGTCTAGTTGGCTACGCTGGTTGGCACAACGAATCAATGAGAATTCTACTAAATTTAAAATTGACAGCTGTTTGAATTTTGTACAAATTTTATTGGTTCTTTGATGTGTCACTGGCGGCACTAGGAAGTTCTGAGAACAGGGCTGTATGAAGTATTAAGCCTTGTCTACATATAAAGTTCTTTCTATCAATCTTACCTGTTAACGTGTCAAGTAAAACCTTTTACTTGAATTGAACTAGAATGGAAGACTGTCTGGAGAATTGACAGAATCATTCAGTATTACAACAAATCTGTTGTTTTGCCTACACTGAATAAAATATAATTAAATTTACAAAAAGTAATATTGATATATTACAGCATCTTTTAACTATTAAAAATCTAATATATTTGTTTCACAAAATATTGTAATTTTACAAATATATTTTTTTTAATGTATTGAAATAGTAGCAGCTCATAAGCTAAGGGTGAGTTAAGCCCCGTTCTCAGAACTATGTTGTCTAGCTGGCTACACTGGTTGGCACAACGAATCAATGGGAATTCTACTAAATTTAAAATTGACAGCTGTTTGAATTTTGTACAAATTTTATTGGTTCTTTGATGTGTCACTGGCGGCACTAGGAAGTTCTGAGAACAGGGCTGTATGAAGTATTAAGCCTTGTCTACATATAAAGTTCTTTCTATCAATCTTACCTGTTAACGTGTCAAGTAAAACCTTTTACTTGAACTGAACTAGAATGGAAGACTGTCTGGAGAATTGACAGAATCATTCAGTATTACAACAAATCTGTTGTGTTGCCGACACTGAATAAAATATAATTAAATTACAAAAAATAATATTGATATATTACAGCATCATTTAACTTTTAAAAATCTAATATATTTGTTTCACAAAATATTGTAATTTTACAAAGTTATTTAGAGGTCTTTAATGTTTATTAAAAATTTATTACTGAACAGTGCAAGTGGCAAATTACACTTGTAAGAAAATTTGGCAGCACTGATTTACTAATAAAAAACATAAAATTGTTTTCTATTATTACTTTTTTTTTAGGTTGGCGATTTAATCATAGTGGATAAAGATGAGAGAGTGCCAGCTGATTTAGTTCTGTTGAGAACATCTGAAAATAGTGGAACTGTGTTTGTAAGAACTGATCAGTTAGATGGCGAGACAGATTGGAAATTGAGACTTGCTGTTCCTGCTACTCAGAAATTAGATAATGATAGCCAGCTTTTTGAAATTAATGCTAATATTTATGCTGAAAAGCCGCAAAAAGATATTCACTCATTTATTGGAACGTTTACTAGAGTAAGTTTATAATTTTTCTTAAGGAAATTATTTTTAATAGTAATGGTATTTAGTTGGATTCAGTAAACAGTGATGAAAGTTTAGACTTAGAAAATACGTTATGGACAAATTGTGTGATTGCATCGGGTCAGGCTACAGGTGTAGTGATTTATACAGGTATTTGAATATTAAAAAATTATTTATTGTATTATTAACCGTTTTCATTTAGGACCAGAAACCAGATCAGTTATGAATAACTCTCAGCCAAGGTCTAAAGTAGGTCTTTTGGATCTTGAAGTAAATACTATCACAAAATTACTATTTTTTGCTGTATTTGGTCTGGCCCTTATTATGATAGCTTTAAAAGGATTCAGTGGTCCCTGGTACCGATATCTATTTAGATTCATTTTGTTATTTTCCTACATCATTCCTATAAGGTAATTATAATGATTTATTTTGTTTGGTAACTCACATTCAGTTAAAATTATAGTTTGCGAGTTAACTTGGATATTGGTAAATCATTTTATTCATGGTCTATTGGAAAAGATCCGGCTATGTCAGGTACTGCTGTTCGATGTACTACTATTCCTGAAGAATTAGGAAGGATCTCATACCTTCTTTCTGACAAAACCGGGACATTAACACAAAATTCTATGGTTCTTAAGAGATTACATTTGGGTTCTGGATGTTATGCTGGTGACAGTTTTGAAGAAGTATAATTCTTTTTTTTGTCTGTTTAGTGATTTTTCTAAGATGTAAATATTTCAGGTATCTTATATTTTAAAAGCAGCATATTCTAACAATGGAGATATTACTACAGAAGACAAACGCGCTCCAACCAAGTTTAGAAGGTCAGAAACAACTAGAGTTAAAGATGCTACACAGGCACTTGCGCTGTGTCATAATGTTACACCAGTTTACGAAGCAAATGATAGAGGTAGATATAAATATATAATATGTAAAAATCATAAATAATTTTAAATAATAACACAAAGAATATCTTAGCTATACAGAAGCGGTAGTGAGCGGCGGCTCCTTTGAAGTGTGTATCCCAAATTTTTTGACTTCTAACCACATAATTAAAGACAAAAAAGTTTTGAATTTTAATTTAAAATTAAATAAAAATAAATTTAACTATTTTAATTGAAGAAATTTTCAAATACACTGAGAAATTTATTTCTTAATACAGGGTGATTCACGACCATGGTAGGTTGGACATTTATGGAGTGTGACAAAACTTTCAAGATTTTGTCCGTTGTCATGGTAGTGTGGCCTTTATATTATAATTATAATTAAAATAATTTATTGAGCGGTAGGCAGAACTTGGATTAATGAGAGCACCGTCTTTTCAGAGCGAAAATATAGTTTATCGTTTACATATAAAAACAAAATACAACCAGCTAAAAATAGAAATTAAGGCATCGCACTTTTATGGTAAGGGTTCTTTCTAAATTCAGTTAACATAAAACTCTACTTCCACTTACCTTATTACGTCAACATCCGTCAGCAATACATCAACAACAAGAACCTGTCGAAGACTTTATTGATCCCCTTGTAGATATACCGCTTCGGTCTTGGATCTATTCTTAAAACTAAACCATTGACCGGTTATCACAGTGTTCTTTTAAATAACTTAATATTTTAGTGATTAGGTGAAATAAAGAAATAAAATGCCGATTTTTCACAACACCTAACTATATTTAATATGAAGAAATAAATAAATAAAAAAATAAAGAAAAAGATTTAACAACAAAACATTTATAATTAATGAAAAAGAAAGAAATTGAATCAAAAATAATTAATGACAATTAGAGAATTGAAATTAAAAGTCAGAGATGATAAAGTTAAAAAAAATACAAAATATTCTTCTTATTAGTCCAATTTAAATTATCTACAATTCGCATACACTTTCAAATCTCTCTTAGAATTATCGTTGGCAGAAAATTAATATGTTAAAAAAATATTCACTGAACAATTAAATTTAAATTAGAATTTAATAAAAAGAACAATTGCAAAATAATCACTTATGCAATGACATCTAAATTTTACTACAGCCCTTAGAACAAACAGAAAGTCTTAAATCATTAATAAAGAAAAATATTAGAGAAAATCCAAAAACAACAATTAAAATACTTTAAGCATGAATAGTTTAGAATTTCCGAACTTGAGAATTTATTTGAGAAAATCTTTAGATAGAGAACTTACTAAAACAATTAAAAAGACCACTGGATAATATATATCTAAGATATAATAAGATCTACACGGAGTAAATTCGACCGTCTAATTTAAAAGTCAGTACCGAACTAATTTTGAAGATGAAAATACTGATGCTGGTATTATCTCGGAAAGGCGTTACTACATCTTCGGCACGCCCCTGTTTGAGGAACCTTCGAATACCCATCCAAATGCATATTTTGCACCTTTTTAATTGGCCGAAGGGTTCCTTCCCCGAAAGATCCCTAGACTTCTTTCACCCCTGTTTCTGATCCTTATCCCGAGAGGGCATCAGCATGTCCTATTTATTAATTAAATGTAATTTTTAAACCCTTCCGTGTAAATCTTACTCTTTTACCAATTTGCTGGATAATATTCATAATCCAAGCCTTAACTAATACAAATGATATCGTGCCATAGGATTACCTTAGAAAAAAAACCGCCTAGAAATTAACTCTTTATTTCTTCACATTTTTGTCTATTACTATTTAACTCTAGGAACGGAAAAAAAGATAATCCTATTTCTATCATTTCAGACATTCATCTCGTGAACATTTGGATTCTGATTTTAAAACATATATTTAATACTTTTAATTTTCAATGTAAAACCTCTAGCGAGGGGATGATTTAATTTTACTTATTTCCTTAAGCATGCCTACGTGCTTTTTCTGCGTTGTTTATTTTGAGATATCCCTAGGGTACACACACAACTGGTACCACTCTGTCAAATAGAGCTTTGATAATAAGGGATGAATGTTTGTTCTACTTTACTCTCGTTTATGTGACTTTAAATTATTTAGAAGATTGTATTATTTGTTTAGTTAGTTTCTCAGGATATATGCGTACTTTTAGAGAGTTTATGTGTCTTGAATATCATTAGATTATTTGCTTAGGCCTTTTAAAATTCGTTTGCCTATGTCGACTGATAACTTCGTAAACTGAAATGGTCCCATCTTAGAATAACGAACCAAAAAGATAAAATTTTACAGAGCTTGATATTATTCTATTACAGGAGAACCGGTAATAGGATTTTGTTTGAAAATTTCTATTTTACATAAAGGCACCTGCTTCATCTGTTGTAAGCCTCATACTCACAATGCGCTGCTGCGTGGTGCAGTTCGTCAATGCGTTGATGTGATGCGCCAATGCGTCGATGAGATGGATTGCGCGGCGGCGGCGCGGCGGTTCGAAGGAATGTCGGTTTTTGGGTGAACCATAAAAAAATCACAAACACAGTGGACGAATTTCTAATGCTTCCATGTTTCATTTTACCTATGAAATATGCTGTAATTACAGTAAAATTATAGCACTTAGATAAAAAAAATCATCGCGGTATTTTAGAAGCAGTTTTGCTTATGAATTGAAGAGAAATGTTAAAAAAGAATTGTCAATTACTAATAGCTTTTGCCCGCAAATATATATTTTTGTAATCTACATTTATAGTACAAACACAGGCATTTTTGATAGCACAAAACTAATTTTAAATACCTTTTTTCAATCCAACTAAAAATGGAGACAGATCCTCCAGCCTACACCTCACGGGTACATCAGCCGGAGGCAAGCTCCTGGACTGTGAAGGGCACGGAGCGCTAAACTCCAACCGTGGAAGGGTGTCTACCCTTGGAGGAAGAACATATGTTGTCAGAGGAGGATGGGAAATACCTTGTCCTCTCTACAACAGAGGTATGATGGGTTATAGACTGTGATGACTCAAGGAAGGGGGGCACAATAGATCTTTAAGGTCGCAGTGATTAACCCCCCCCCCTCTCACTCCTTCTACATTCGACAATTCATCTGAAGGCTACCAACTTGAATGTATCCTCTTGAACAAAAAAGTTGAACCAGATTCTCGAGATATTTGAAATTAATCACATTATATAAGTTGAAGATTTAGATGTTCAAAAAGCTTTTATTTCACGTGAATTCAGTGGTCAAATAATCATTTCACATGTAGCGTAAACGCGGCTTTATTAATTTTAAAATATCTCTACTATCTTCTCTTATAGTTGCTTCTTTTAAAGAAAATCGTTACCATGACAAATATCCAAACTTTCTATGTATCGATTTGACTTTACGTGTATTGGAAAATTGTCATGGTAAAGAAAGGTTCTTGAAATGAAACTACAGTATCCTAAAACGGCGTCAGCGATGGCTATGAAATGAAGATCGGTGTTATTTTATATATAAAATTATATGGGGAATCGTCATTTCTAAATCAACTGTCTCCGTTTTTTCTCGATCATACAGTATAATAACAGAATTATTAATTCTTAAATACCTCTAGTTAACAAACCGGAAGGTTTAGGTATATGTACACGATATATCATTGAAAAACATATTAGTCTGTCATATAACTATTAGTCTGTTGATTTTTTAAAAAATATACATAGGGTTGAATTTAAAATAAGAAAGATTTGGTCAATTTTATAACAAGCGGAAATATTTTTTTTTCCTCTTCCCGTAAAATAGCCAATCAGTTGATTTAGGTACATCGAATATATCCAATTTCGTTCCCTTATAACCCAATTTCAGCTTTAAAAATGGTCAGTTTATGATTTTACCAATGCTTATTCAAGATTATATTTTTGTCAATTTTACGCCTGTTTTATTTTTTATCTCGGAAACTATTAGAGATAGGTATAGGTTAGTATAATACAAAAAATATGAGATATGAAAGTAGTTTCTAAAAATGTAATAATATACCGGGTGTTATACCATTAAAATAACAAAGGTAAATAACACTTTTCAAACCAAGGCGGTCGCCGGATGAACGGCTCCCACCCATAGCTGCTATATTTTGCCTATAAGATCTGACATTTATAACCAGAGTTTTTTGATTGCAGGATAGAGTTTTGATTGCATTGGTGTCAACTTCTTTGGGGGGTTAATTTTTTTTTATATTTCAATACGAATCTGACTGCTTTCAAGGTTTTGATTTGAAAATAATTTTATAATTTCTTTTTAACGTGATGGTTATTCAAAATAGATAGTCGCCATCATAGGAGCCGTTCCTCCGGCGACCGGCACGTTTTTCCAAATGATGCGGCAACATTGTAACGTTGAAAATAATTTAGATAGATGGAGCAAGTGCCTTTATAGAAAAACCTAAATTTAAAAAAAAAAAGATTTAATTGGTTCTCTATAAACGTCTAACCTACCATCTATGTGAGTCACCCTATACCGGGTGCATCTCAAAAATGACTCATCCCTATAACTTTTTTATTTTTTTTAGATTAAAAAAAAATGATATTTGGTCTATTAGTATATGACATAAATTAGGATTAATTGACATATTCAATTGTTTTCGGTCACTTCCGGTTTTACCGGAAATGATGATACAACTTTTGATTTTTAAATGGCACGGTATATTTCTACTTTATTCGATAGAAAATGACACTCTGAATAGAAAGACGTATCATATGTCAACTTTTGACATTTTCGCATATGATTTATTTCAAATTGTAACATGCGGTTCATAACGACAGTTTGACTCGGCATAACAAGTGATTATTCAGAAAATTCAGATTATTTGTAAAAATTGCTTTTTGCAAATATACTAATGAGCCACCCTCGTTTCATTTGAAAAATTTGAGATATGATTAAAAAGACGATTTGGGTATCTTTTAACTGGCTAGGATAAGACAGGAAAAATATTAGACGATCAAAACTATTTTTCAAAGGCTCCTTGATTAAAAATTAGTGTTTTTAACATACTGTAGCACTCTAGATTAAAATTAAAAATACGATTTTTTTTGAATGAAAATGTCAAAAATTGATATATGATATGTCATTCTACTCAGAGTGTCATTTTCTATCAAATAAAGTAAAAATATACCGACGGTGCCATTTAAAAATCAAAAGTTGTAGTCATTTCCGGTGTGACAGTAAGTGACCAAAAACAATTGAATACGTCAATCAACCCTAATTTATGTCATATATTTAAGTTATAAGAGTGAGCCATTTTCGAGACGCACCTGGTATAACCGTTAGTTTATTGTGACATGAGATAAATGTGAGAAAAATTAAATGAGGAGAAAATGGCGTTTCTCTTTCTTTCCAACTTCAATGATTTCAGCATAAATTTTGAGTTCTATATAAAAAAACAATAATATCAATATAATATAAAGAAATATATTTTTACAATAGTTATTAACATAAAACTGTTTTTAAAGGAGCTTTACTAATTCCAGAAAGTGTTTTTTTTTTCTTTTTATAAAATTTTATTAACTAATAGATAGGATTACTATCTAAAAATGTTAATTACTTCACATCATGTACCATTCATGTCGATTCCTCCAACAAAACTCCAAAAAGCTTTTAATTTAGATTCATAAAAACTCTTCATCTTCTATTCCTCACTTTACTTTATCCAAATGAACTAATCATCAAAATTTGAAAATCGATGTAACTAAAATTATAACCTAACCACACGTCCAAATTTTTAGGCGTGTGGGATTTTAACATATTTCATACTAAAAATTTGGTCCACAAAAAATAACCAATGTCGCTTCTGTATGATTAGGTAATTCTGTGATAATACTTCAATATAAAATAGGTTCAATTGCATCAGAAACTGAGGCTGACCAGCATCTTCAAGCTTCAGCAGTGGAAGTAACTTATCAAGCTTCAAGTCCTGATGAAGTTGCCCTAGTCCACTGGACCCAAGAAGTAGGTCTAACATTATTTCACCGAGATTTGAATTCAATGCAGTTAAAAGCTCCTGACGGAAGGTTACTAAATTATGCTATTTTACAAATATTCCCTTTTACTAGTGAAACTAAAAGAATGGGTATTATAGTGAAAGTAAGTGTACAGTCACAAAATATCACATCAACATATTTTATGTGCAAATTTGCAGGATTTAAGTTCAGGTGAAATAACATTTTACTTAAAAGGAGCAGACGTTGTAATGTCTGGAATCGTCCAATATACAGATTGGTTAGAGGAAGAAGTAGGAAACATGGCTAGGGATGGTTTACGTACATTAGTTGTTGCCAAGAAATCTCTGACAGAGGAGCAGTATGTGGATTTTGAAGTAAGTATTGCATTTTTGAGAAAAGATCAGTGTATTTATATGATTAATTTTGACTCTTACTTTTAGGCTAGATATAATGCAGCCAAATTATCGACTGTTGATAGAGTTTCGAGGGTAGCTCAGGTAGTGGAATCTCTTGAAAGAGAAATGGAACTTTTATGTATTACAGGAGTAGAAGATAAATTACAGGATAATGTCAGGTAAAACCGAATTTTAAGGGGCGTATAACATTAATATAAAATAAATAAAATCTAGGACAACCTTGGAAGTACTGAGGAATGCTGGTATCAAAATATGGATGCTCACTGGTGATAAATTGGAAACTGCAACTTGTATAGCAAAAAGTTCAAGATTGGTTTCTCGAACACAAGGTAATTATTAAATAAAAGTATCTAAATATTTAGTAGTCTTTGTTATATTAGTTTTCATGTAATAGAAGAACATTTACACATATAATTTTTGCAGGTTTACATGTCTTTAAAAAGGTTGTAACACGTACAGACGCTCATTTAGAACTGAATGCCTACAGAAAGAAACAGGATTGTGCTTTGGTAATAAGTGGTGAAAGCTTAGAAGTTTGCTTGTCATATTATCAGCAAGAATTTATGGAACTGGCTACTGCTGCTCCAGCTGTAGTATGTTGCAGATGCTCTCCTACACAGAAAGCCCAAGTGGTATGCATTTTTTTTATGTGTACTCTCTAAATTTATGATATTATATCCAAAATGATATCGATTGACAATTATAAATAACATTTGAAGGCTCCAGGAGAAAACCATAATGAGCGCCATTTTGCTAATTTTACAGGGGAGCCCTGGACAGCTGATGGTTATTAGGTTCTTTCCTTGTATGAATATTTTTACTAGTTATCATAACAGCTTATTTTCCTGCAGAGTTTATACATTTTGTAGGAACAAGTTAGACCTACTATAACATTGTAAAACTCTAAGGCTGTATTCCGTTGTAAAACCAGGCGAACCAGACCGGTAAACTGCGGTAAAGAGCGGTTCCTGAAAATCAATGGTTTAATACGGAACGGTTTGGTAAAATATTGGAAACGTCAAATGTTGACGTTTTCTAAATTTGAAATACCTCTATTATAAAATTTATCTTTTATGCATTTTCAATGGATTTTAATATTGAAAAGTACTTTATTAATAAAAAACTGTTAAACTCGTTAGACAGCTCAAGTGAAGATTTGCAGGTCCAATATTAAAATAGATCAATAATAAATAAACAAATCTATTCGATATTTATATTTTTATAACTTCAAACATTCACGATTACTTGTTGTCTTGTTTTTAATGTCTTCTTTAAATGTTCCTAACTTTAAGAGACAATGGCTGCATGATAAGTTTAAATGGTCCTAAAAAGTCATTTTATTTAGCTTTACTGCCTACCTCCATTGCTTTTGGATGTAAATACAAAATATTATTACAAATTTTAGAAATTAAATGAGAATGTCACTCGAACTTCCAATATTTGCTTGATTTCTTTCACATTAATGACATTGATTGACAAACAAAACCAGAAAAACCAGCCTTCTCGCGCTGGTTAGTTTGGTGACATTTATAACCGAATTTTTCAGGAACTGTGTTCCGTAATAAGAAAACTTTCAGGAAACCGATAAAAACGGAACATAAAACCATAACCAAGGTAAGCAACGGAATACACCCTAAAATTAAGAAATTTGCGCCTATCGTGTCATGTCATGTGTCATTGAACTCTTAATTTTCTACTCTAATTGTGTTTTAATGATATCAAATGTGTAAATTTCTAATTTTATGTTTTGCAATTTTTTGATGCAATATTTAAGGCACTATCAAAAAGTTCACTCAAGAATGTCTATTTCATAAAAATAAGAAAGGACTGATATCCTTTTTTATAATGATATAAGTATACAGAAACGACGTCACTGAATCCTTTTTTGTCAGTTTTGTTTTGAATTTTCTGAAGTAATAACTAACTTCTCTCTCTCTGCAGTTTTAACTAACTATTATTGACGCAACAAAACCAGAAAATTATTGAGTATATACGACTTCATATTTTAACATTTAAAAAAAATAGAACTCCACTGATAAACCGGAATTTAAGTTAACCATATGAGACATTCTTGCCGGTCTCGCTATTTTTGTCGATATATATATTCCTTCCTTCATCTTTTTATTAAAGCATAATATCAAATGTCGAAATGAGAAAAACTACCGTGGCTTTTTCTAACCCTATGTTCTATACCTATTATAGACTGTCTAGCGGGAGAATATTCGTTTTCGAAACTACAGTTCTACCAAATAAACTTTTAGTCACGTGATTAAGCTTCACCCGCACAGTGTTGACCATTTTTATAATATTTTCTTTTAGTCAAAATATTTTAGGAAACAAAAATAAATTAATTATAAATATATAAACAGTTACTATTTACATCAACTAAACTCACTTCTTAAAAGCACTAAGGGACATAAAGGGCAATATATAGGGAGTTTTTTTTATAGCTATTAAGCTATCTTGTACACATCGCGCTAAAAGATATTCTAAAAAGAACAATGTTCTACTGCAACGTCTGCTAGTAAGCATGTTTAAGCTTAAAGTATCACAACACTGCTTATTTAAACCAAAAACTCTTTATACAAAACTAAAGTGTCAAAACGAACGACAATGTCAGGAAATAAATAAATAAATGTGGCAACTTGATTTTTTACAGCAGAGCTACCACCCGAATCCTCAGCGCGAAATTTAAATTCCAGTTAGTCAGCCCGGCGCCGAATATATCCACGGTTGGCAAAAATGAATTTAAAAATCGCGCTCTCGATTACGTAACTAAAAGTTTAATTGATGTCAAATATATAAGTAATAATTTTCAAATTTAACTCATTTAAATAAGATTTTTTTTTATTTAGGTCCAGTTGATACAGCAACATACTGGCAAACGCACGGCTGCAGTTGGCGACGGAGGCAACGACGTTAGCATGATTCAGCAAGCAGATGCCGGTATCGGTATCGAGGGTCGAGAGGGAAAACAGGCCAGTTTGGCTGGCGATTTTAGTATTCCTCAGTTTTCCCACTTGGCCAGGCTACTGTTGGTCCACGGTCGCCGCTCCTACAAACGCTCGGCCTCACTTTCCCAATTCGTTATCCACAGAGGCCTAATCATATCCACGATGCAGGCGGTGTTTAGCAGCGTGTTTTATCTCAGCTCCGTGCCCTTGTATCAAGGATTTCTCATGGTCGGCTACGCCACTGTTTATACGATGTTTCCGGTGAGTACATGTATCATATACACTGTGTGCTAGAGGGGGGGGGGCAAAGATTGAACAAGTTGTCTATTTGAACAAATATTAAAAATGAATCGTGAGATTCGATTCACCGCTTAGAATACGGTTCGATCAATTGAATCGTGGCCAGCACGGTGTTGTATTATTGTTTAGAAGACAGAAATTATGTTTTTTAACTAAAAGCTAAAAAAATTATAAAACTACAAATTTTGAAAAAAAAATCCCAAAAAAACATAATCGTGTTTCTGGGATCGAAATATACTACCCCTAAAAATATTTGCACTTATTTAAGACTCACCCTGTATTTGGGAATTTTCAGTGTGTCAACCTGAGGTATCAACTAGGGTTCAGATTCTTTTGAGACATCAAAGAACCGGGACTCGAAATTATTATTTCCCGGTTCTTTCGGTACTTTCGGGACTCGGTAATAATAATTCAAAACATATTTATTGTTACATGCGAAAGACCTTTCATAATTTCTAGCGGTCGAAATCAAACTCTTCTAAATAAGTAGTGATGATCTGTCTTACTGTTCTTACTTCTGAAGTTATTTTGAAGTTTCTAAAATGTTTATTAGCAATTATTGAAGTTTAAATGTGTTATTTTATTATTTCGTATAATAATGCTGAATGTATTAGTTATATTTTGTTGTGTTATGTTTTTATAGTCATTTGCATCTCTAATTGAACGTTTTTTCAAATTTAGTTAAGTTGGTTGATGTTTGATGTAATTTTTGAGCTACCTATGTATTTTCGTTTTTTTTCACTTGTGTTCCTTATTTGTATTCATGTTTACTTTCACATGACTTAATAATTTGATATAATTTCCATTTGAAACTCAATTTTTTATCGGATTTACTTTTGAGAACCAACCATTCCTTGCTGGCTAATTGACAAACTCCACAATCATTGAACGAACATATTTTAGTACGGTTCCGGAAACTCTAATTCAGTAGTTCCCAAACTTATTTTTCTCGTGGGCCACTTTCAAAATTTTACTGGTTTCGGTGGACCCCCTGCTGCTACATTTCTACCACATTCTTAAAGTCGCCAAAAAATAAAAATTGTGTCACTTCTGAGTTCTGTCCCTATATTCCGATATGTAAAATAAAAACGAAAAATGGTACATTTTATATCACTTATTTATTAAAAGAATAGAATTACAAGAGAAAAATATTAAGGTAATATAGGTTCAGGTCATAATTTTAATTAATGGGAAGGATGTATCTGATGGAGTGTCAGCAAACGATCAATGTTTGGCTTTATTTTTTGTGAGCAATAACCGCAAATCCCCCGCTCTGTGATGTTTAATTGCTCCTTTTTTGTAAGAGGTTTGTAACGGCACTAAAACTCCTTTCGACAAGGTATGACGAGAGGAAAAGCTATTAAAATTTCCTTGCGATTCCCACAGTCCAGGATATTTTTCGGGTATTTCTGCTTACAGCCAAAATGTTGGGTAGCCTTTTCTAAATTTCAAGCCCCGTCCAAGCCCTAGCCCTTTTCCCGTCGCCCGCGCAACTGCCGCTCTTTCCGAAAAGGAATAGTTTTGATAAAATAGTTACTTCAAAACCAATTTAAAATGATTATGAAATTACTGTTTTATAAAATTAGTAGTTATTTGCAAGAAAATTACAAAATTAATTGCTCTGCAATATTGCTTATTCGGCCTTTTAGAGAGGCAGTGTTTCTCTCGTGAAAAACAATTGAATAAAACGATGCTGTGTTTGTCTTCAAATCGAAGAGAGGACAATTAAAATATCTGTAAGTTACTAAGTTACCTATCTATACAGGCCGTTGTGATCAACCGACTAGTACACGTAAACAAAATACTTAAGTACTATAACAAAAAAAAGGTAGGTTACTTACTTTTCTCCGGCACTAGCAAACACAGATATAAATTTTCTCACAACTTTTTTCCAAATTCCGCCTTTTTTTTCGAAATTCCGGAAACAAATGAATGCGTTTGCCTTGGCATCAAGTATTTATAGTGGTGATCAAGTTCATGTCTGAACAAGCATTAAGCATTGTCGAGGCGGATAGCGCCTTTGCAAGTCTGTACACGAAATTGTACGTAATATCGAATACGCAAGTTTGGACAAGTAACAGTCGCTTGCCTTATTAAAATATTATCTGCTTAGATAGGTACTTAAAACAATGTAGGTAGGCCCTTATAAAAACTATGCTTACATTTTTGCTCTTTACTATCAAAAGCAGATAAATTTTCGTGGACCCCCATTAACATCTTATGGACCCCCATTTTTTGTTCACGCCTACGTAGACCCCCAGCAAGTCTCCTGTGGACCCCTGGGGGTCCACCTGGACCACTTTGGGAATCACTGCTCTAATTAATAATAAATAACTGCCAATTAGGGTTCAGATCTTTTTGGCCATCACAGAACCGGGCCTCGGTAAGAATAATAAACAAATATTTTTTTTGTTACATGAGAAAGTCCTTTGATACTTTCTAGCGGTCGAAATCAAACTCTTCTAAATAAGTAATGATGCTATTTCTTTTTGTTCTTGCTTCTTTTCTCTTTTGAAGTTCTTATAATATTTAAGTTATGTTTTAATAGATATTTGCATGTTTATTCAATATTTTAGGGCTTTAGTCTCAAATTCAGTTAAGTTGGTTTATGTTGTTTGATGTGAAATTTAAGTTACATATACTTTTTTCTTTACTTACGTTCATGTTAATTTTTTTATGACTAATTACTTAATAATTTGATATTACATATTTTCATTAAAAATCTCAATTTTTTTATCCATTTTACTTTGAAAAATCATCCCTTGCTTTCTGATTAATGAACTGCACCACCATTGAGCAAAAATTAGTCAGTACCGAAAGTACCGAAAAAAAACGGGAAATCCCGATTCCTAAGAGGCGCGATACCGAAATTCCCGGTTCCAAAAAACAGCTCCGGTTGCGGAAACCCTAGTGTCAACCAATTAATTTATTTTCTGAAATAATATACCGGGTGCGTCTCAAAAGTGGCGCACCTCTATAACTTACAAAAAAACAAGATTTGGTTTGTTAGTATATGACATAAATTAGGATTGACTGACGTATTCAATTGTTTTCGGTCACTTCCCGCTTCACCTAAATTAACCACAATTTTTGATTTTTAAATGACACCCTCGGTGTTTTTTTACTTTATTCGATAGAACAAATTGTAACGTTTTAAAACAAAATTATTCGTAAAAAAATGCTTTTTCCAAATATGCTAATGAACCACCCTTGTTCTATTTGAAAAAATGGAGATATGATTAAAAATACGATTTGGGCATCTTTTAACCAGCCAGCTAGGACAAGACACGAAAAACATTAGACGATCAAAACTATTTTTACAAAGCTCCTTGGTTAAAAATTAGTGTTTTTAACACAGCCATGGCGCTCTAGATTGAAATTTAAGATAGGATTTTTTTTAAACGAAAGTGTCAAAAGTTGACAATGATATGTCATTCTTTTCAGAGTATCATTTTCTATTTAAATAAAATAGAAATATACCGAGGGTGCCATTTAAAAACCAAAAGTTCTAGTCATTCCGGTGAAACAGGAAGTGACCAAAAACAATTGAATACGTCAATCAATCCTAATTTATGTCATATACTAACATACCAAATCTCGTTTTTTTATCTGAAAAAATAAAAAAGTTATATGGATGAGCCACTTTCGAGACGCACCCGGTACATTTATGATATTTTAGGTATTTAGTTTGGTGTTGGATCAAGATGTTAGCCCTGAAATTGCACTAACTTATCCTGAACTGTATAAGGAACTAGCTAAAGGAAGAAGTCTTTCTTATAAAACTTTCTTTATATGGGTTCTTGTGTCTATTTATCAAGGTATTTTAAGTAAAAATTTAATTCTGTATTATCCGATATTCATACTTATAATTTTCTAACAGGTGGTGTAATAATGTATGGAGCTCTGCTACTATTTGAAGATGAATTTATTCACATTGTAGCAATTAGTTTTACATCACTTATTTTGACTGAGCTAATAATGGTGGCTTTAAACATAAGAACATGGCACTGGCTTATGATATTAGCTGAATTATTCTCACTGGCTCTATATGGATTATCTCTTATTGTACTCCATGACTACTTTGGTAAGTGAAACTTTTTAAAATATACAAAATTGGAAATGACTAGAATAACCAAAGATATTAAAAACCGGGAGATACAATGATTCATTCATAAAATGCTCTAATACTTCAGCAGACATTTGTTTGCTTGAATCAACGAGTGCTATGGTAACAATGTAGGTGTGTACAAAGATTAGACGTTTGAGGTCATAAATTTCCAGTCGCGTGCAGATCGACCGACAACATTTTAAAAAATTAAAAAAAGTAATAAAACTTCATATTTGTCGCATTTTAAAAAATAAGGTTGAAGGAGGATAGTGAAATAAATCAAACCGGCATAACTTTTTATTATAAGATGGATTTTCACGTAAGAGTAAGGATTAAAAAAATCGCTAATGTTTTTTTTTGCTTTATTAGTCATAAAATTCATGTAATGACATTAATGCATTAATTTTTTATAAAAAAATGTAACTATGCACTATGTACGTCGAAAGATGTCCATTTATATTATAGCAACCAAAATTTAAAACAAAAACTGTATAAAATTGTAACAGCAAAGAAAAAAGTAAGGCAGCAAAATTCCATTTTTTGTACACCCCAATAAAACTTTCACAAAAAGAAAAATGTGTGATGAAGAAAGTACAGTTTTTCGAAAATAGATGTTCATAATTTTATAAATTACAGGCGGTTTATAGAACTTACATATAATTTTTAATATTCAACACCGTTTCTCAAGAGTAAACTAGAAATTATTATTATTTTATTGGTAATTAGTAGGTACCATGTCCTTTTTTCCTACAAGTAATTTATAAAAACAAAAGAGGGATCGCCCTGGTAAGAATCCCGTTTATTGGTGGTCCCAAGAAATAGCTGAGCTTAGAATGGAGTGTACCAGAAAAAGGAGGGCCTTCACGAGAAATAACCGGAGGAATCAAACGGCAATAAGCCAGCAACTTAAGCCAGCAACTTAAGCCAGGCAATAAGCCAGCAACAAAAATGGAGTACATAGCATCCAAGAAAAGGCTCAGAAATGCCATTAGAAAGGCAAAGCAAGTGTCGTGGAAAGATATTTGCGAAGAAGTTAACACCGACACCTGGGGTAAAGACTATCAAATAATAATGAAAAGGACTTGTGGATGTCCCCCACAGCCTATACTACCTGCATACATGATGGACAAAGTGGTTGCGTACCTTTTCCCAGTCCACGATAAGGTGTGCTTTGACGTCGTTGCGATCTATACGAGCACTTGTTATTAGCAAGATTAAAAAAAGAGATTGAATACTCGGATAGCTTGGCTGGAAACCAATATGGATTCAGGGAAGGTAGACAAACGGTAGATGCAGTCCTTGAAGTAATCAAAATTGCAAAGCGAGCATGGAATTACTCCTCCCAAAATGAAAAAATATGTGCGGTCATCACACTGGACGTGAAGAACGCATTCAACAGTGCTTCATGGCAGTTAATTCTGGACAAGTTGAGGAGAAGAGGAATAAATGGAAGCCTTCTGGCATTGGTAAAATCATATCTGAGTGAGCGTGAGTTGATTGTGCAGTACGAAGACGCAACCAAGAATTTGAAACTGAGTAGTGGCGTCCCTCAAGGCTCAGTTCTTGGGCCATTTCTGTGGAATGTCTTATATGATGATCTATTGAGAACGGAGATGCCAAAGGACGTAACGCTAATTGGATTTGCAGACGACATAGCAATGGTAGCAGTTGATAGGACTGAGTACTGGCTCATGGAAAAAGCTAATCTGGGTCTAATGAGAGTCTTAAACTGGATGGACAAAAACTGTCTCAGTCTAGCACCGGAAAAAACGGAAGCGGTCCTCCTGACTAAAAGGACTAAGTTGAAACCAGTGCATTTTAATCTGCTTGGAACACGAATTGTACCTGGTAGATCATTAAAATATCTCGGGGTGTGGCTGGACAGCAAGCTCACTTTCTCCATACACGTACACCGTACCATAGAAAAAGCGGAAAAAACAATGTCCGACCTTTCCAGACTTATGCCAAATATAGCTGGTCCAAGCGAATCGAACAGGAAAACACTGGCATGTGTAATGCAATCCCAGATACTCTATGCTGCACCAGTGTGGAATAACGCAACGAATAATACGGTACTTACCAGGAAACTCACCAGAGTTCAGAGGCTAATGTCCATGAGAGTAACTAGGGCCTACAGGACAATCTCAACTGCGGCAGTCGGAGTGATAGCTGCAGTACCACCCATATACCTCCTTATCAATTGGCAGGAGCGCTGGAGGACTAGTACAAAAAGCCGATGGACACACAGAATCATCACAAACATTAGCAACTGGCAGAATAGGCGCTACGGGGAGGTCGACTACTATCTCACTCAGACCCTCTCAGGGCACGGCTGCTTCAATGCATTCCTATTTAAAAGGAAAAGAGAAAATACGGACATTTGTATATACTGTGAAGCAATAGATGATGCTGAACACACGATTTTTGCCTGTCCTAAATGGCACGACTCATGACAGATATATGAGAAGGAACTGGGGAGGCGGTTTACTCTGGAGAACTGTGCCTTGGACACCATGGGAGAAGAAAATGGATGGAAGATGGCCTATAATGTTGTACGGACGATCATTAGGACCAAGGAAAAGGAAATGAGAACTTTGGGACAAGTAGAATAGTAAGCCAACTACCACGTTGAAGTAATGCGAGAGCAGTTCCAGCGTGGCGCATGGATTGGCAAAGGGGGGTTTTTAGTCGGTAAAAACCCGACACGGCCCAGGACCATCCAACATCGGGTGTCTTTTGAAGATTTTCCCCTCCATAAAAAAAACTTAAAAATATATATAATTTAGAAATCTGCTATCTTTTATATCGAGGTACGCCTCTGTATCTACAGACAAAATGATATAATATAATATACCTAACCCTATTTTTATTTACCAGTAAAAAGTTAAATTTGGATTTAAATGATACACTCTTCTAAACAGTACATGAATGCACCATATTTTTAAATTTGGTGTCCACAGAAGTCCACATTTATTCTATTATGAAATTAAAAATAGTTAAGCAATTAAGCATTAAATGAAAAAGTTGACGTACAAGCAAATTAATGTACTTGATATGTTATAGAAATATAAAGAAATTATTTATTACTTCACAGTTATTGGTTGTGGTGTTTAATCGAATACTAATACCAAGATAGAAGTAAATCTGGCAAATGTTTTCAGTGTTAGTGAGATTGGAAAATAAAGATAGAATAATGTCCGATGAAGGGGAAAATGTATCTCTTGAGTTTAAATATCTTTGAGAATAACACAAAAAATGAAAAACTGAAGTTGTGTTCATTTTTTTTGTTCTTGGTGTCTGATGAAATCGCATATTCTTTTGTTGAACAGTCTATAGTCATACATGGTATGTGAAAAAGTATTAATTTTGTTTATTCTTTTTAGATGCGGAATTTATTAAAACGTTGGACTTTTTGTGGAAGGTAACGGCAATAACACTAATTTCATGCTTGCCACTTTACATCCTTAAATTCTTGAGGAAAAAGTTCTCTCCTCCCAGTTACACTAAGTTATCATAATTTTTAATGTGATATTTGTGACTCAAATTTTCATATGACAAAATATGTCAGATATTTTTTGATTAATTCTAATTTTTAAATAATATATGATAAGAATCAATTAATATCCGTGATAAATCTGATAAAAGAAAAACCAAAATAATATATGATTTATTATCAAATATATTTATGTTTAATTTTGATTTATGTTAATAATATGATATTGCTTTTTATTTCACTTATGAATACTAGTTTAACATAAATAGTTTAAATTTGCAAGGTAACAGATAGTCAATGAAAGTTTAAGCATTTTATTTTATTATTATCTGTAGTATTTATAATATTAGATGTTAATATATTTTAATAACTACACTTCCATCTGTTGTTGATTATACATTTTATTAATTTATTAGAAAAAGCATGTAAAATACGAAAATATATATTAATAAATTAACTTAGCGAGTTATTTTTTCATATACTGAAGACTTTTTTATATTTTCATTATATTACTGTGGTAGAAACCATCCATGAAGACATTTTGGTACCGGACTGGGTGTCTTAAATTCAGCTCTTCCTATTTCTTTAAAAGTCTTTGCATTTATAATCAACAATCCTACATGATTTGTGTCTTCACCTCCCCAAACCATTGCTGACAATATAATTCCATCATCCTCATGCTGCACAAAAAAATAAGGATTAGTAGAAGGGATGGGTGATAACGGATTTTACCTGTCGATAAGTTATTACAATTATTCAGCTCTCGATATATTTTAATTATCGATATAATTATTAAGCCGATATATCGATAACTATCGAATTAGCGACAGCTATCGGTTTATTGATAGATATTGACAATTTTAAAGCCATCTATTGTTAAGCCCCTTTCATACACTTGCGAATCACGCATTGCGGAACTCGTTTTCATTGGTCCAATTTTAATGAACATGGCGGCGCTGTCAGAAAGTTTAATTTTTATGCGATTCGTAATATTTAAAATTTGCGGCACGGGAAAATTGGAATGGTTTCAATTTTTGCGAAGGATTCGGACGAATTGTAAGTAAGCGTTTGCGCAGAAGGAAGCTCAAGACCTATTATTGATTATTTTTACATGAAACCGCCGGGTATTTTTTTTGTCTTCGACGTTTTAACAATAAATATAAAGCAAGTTTACGTTTTCTGTTCCAATACCACAACTTTAAATAGAAAACCACTTTCTTGAACGCATCATTTTTTCTGTTTCTATCGGAATATTCTTTCGATTTTATATTCCAAAGGCATGGCAACGATCAATATATTTCAATGAAACTCGTCATAAACTCCTTATTGGAATAAGTACGCATATCAGACATTTTCGAAAAGTTGATAACTACGAGTAATTACACAAAACCCACAAAAGTCACAAAACTGTACATTGAACTCGCTGATACCGTCTACACGTATGATATCACCACACAAACTGGTTTGCGCAAACTAAAATCTTTAGCAGCGCGACGTTTACGCAGGCCGCGCTTGTTGGTTTGTGCGTGCTGCCGTTTTACCGTCTACACACAGCGAGTTCCTGATACAAACAGGTTTGTGCAGGTAAGCTCTTGGTAAAGCTTGTCCGTGTAGCCGGCCCTTAACCGTAAGTTTTTAATATAAAAAGTTGAAATAACAACTAATATTGAGATTTTGGAAAAGGTAAATACTTATACAAAAATAAATTTAGACATATCAATATTTCCATTGGCATCTCGTCTATATATTGATAGTTATGAATAACTGATGCTAATGGAAATACTATAGCCAATTTCGAGCGAACAACCGTTGGTTATGGTTGAGAGTTAAACAATGCTTTAAACGTTAGTTGTCTATCAATTGGTTGGTTAGGTTATTATCTGTCAACCATAACCAACGGTTGTTCGCTCGAAATTGGCTTAAAAGCTTTAAACGTCAGTTGTCAACCAATTGGTAGACACTAACGTTTAAAGCTTTGAATAAGAAGACTAAGGTAGGAGCATATCAAAAATCTTAGGTACACCGCGATAGGCCTCAAATATGGTCGACTTAAATTCCGGTTTATCAGTGTCGTTCTAATTTTATTTAAAAAATGTAAAACTATGATGTAGGGTAGAGGTGGGGTAGACTTAATAATTTGTTGTTTTATTTTACGTTGTGAATAAATGTTGGTAGTTATTAAAATTGTTATAAAAATATATAATTCTAATAAAAATAGATAAGTTATAATAAGTATTTATTAACACAAACATCCGATACGCTACTGAAGCAGGTAAGTCAAACTAACGTATCTAAATTCTTTGACATCTAATCTTTGACAAGTAATAAATAAAAGCTAAAATGCAAGAAAAATATATAATTTAGTTAATTTAAGTGAATTTCATAAATGATCGGTTTACTACACGTATGTATATTATATAGTCACTTACTAGCGAAAAGTTGTTCCATTATTTCACTCAATTTTTGCCGAGATCTACCGCACGCTACACAACCAACTATTCTAGAGTCTTTTTCGATAAATCGCGATAGTGTCACTGTTAATTTAAGTTCTGCCACAATTTCCATCTAGATTTACTACCTTTATACAACTATCAGTAGTAGAATAAATAATAAATAATATAAAATAAGCTCCGTAAAGACTGACAAATCCACAAAATTTCAAATCAAATTCAAATGTGTCAAATGAATCGTCAAACAGAACTGTCAAGGATCCCCAACCTAGAGTGCTTTTTCCGCCCACCATGCTTGAATACATGGATAGCATTATGCTCCTTCCTTAGTCTTCTTATTCAAAGGTTTAAAGCATTGTTTATCTGTCAACCATAACCAACGGTTGTTCGCTCGAAATTGGCTTATCAATATACCGATTTGGTCATCGAAACTGTGCGGTCTGGATTTTAACGTGTAAGACAGTGATGTAGATAGCTTAATGGAAAATCAAATGTATTATAAAGAGAGAAAATTGGGTCGTTACATTTCTTAAATGCGGTATTGCCGGATTTTGCATCAAAATTCCAAATTGTACAATTAGGCGTTTAGGAAAAATGTTACATCTAGGGCTGAAACTTTATTTTTCACTCTTATTTACTCATTTTACTACAGCTGTAATAGAATATATTTAGCATAGGCATTTTATCTTCATTTCAGAAGTATACATGAAAGTTTTTAAAATAGTTTTTTTTCTACACACATTTTCCTACAAACGTAAAAAACCGGCAACACTGTATGCCACTTTTGATTTTGTCTCTCTGTCTGTAAACAGGTCATTTATATTATTCTCTGTCACACGCATTGGAATTCAGACCGCATAGTTTGGATGACCAGCAGGGTATAGGTGACGATATATCGATAATTTCAAAGTCACCTACTCCTACTACATATGAAGAAGTCCATTTTTTACTAATTTGGTTTTAATATGTTTTATATAATTTGGTGTTATAATATTTTCCGTCTTAAAAAGCTATACAATTTGGTACCTAAATAAACGGGAATATCAATAATGGTCGCAGAGTGAACTTGAATTAAAAATGCTTCCCTGAACATTTATCGTTTTTGGACACTGTTTTTCCCGTGTGCTCTTCATATTGTTATTCGATTGTTATCGATGTATAAACCTAGATACATTTTTTAGTAAATTTTATGCTATACAAGAAAACGCGATGTAAATTCTTTTTATCGTAAACCGTTTCAAAGTTATGGTACTTTTAATGGAAAAAAAATTAAGTGTTTTTTAAATGGAAAACTTTGAATGTTCACCGACACCTTTTAAAAGTGAGCTAAAACTCCTGCCTTCCAGGGATATTTTTTTCTCGGTTATTATGTTTATTTTAACCCACAAATTCCATAGGTTAGTTTTTTGGCTCACCCTATTCTAGGTACATGCATTAATTTGGAAATTGAATTGACTTTTTACCTTGCTATTAGGACAAGCTACAAATACTGGTTCGCTAGGGTAACAGTTGGGCTCTTGCCAGGTTTTACAACTTTTTTCTTCAACGTCCACTTTTATTAACTAAAAAAACATAATAGTGATATTAATCCAATGAAAATTTGTTAATATACCGTGCTGGCACCTGTTACTTTTGGGTCGGTATTTACCATGTGTGGAAGTAAATCGCATAAGGATCTTATTAAGTCGGAGTGGGAGAAATGCGACGGTGTGCTGTTGCGACGTTGCCGGTACCCTTTCCCTATCAAGTAAAATCACGATCGCACACCACTTATTTTTATACTTTTTTTCTAAAAGATAACTATATAAAATCATTAGATATGTTTCTGAGCATCTGAAATCAAATTATAAGGATATCGTTAGGGTGTCTATTTTTTTATAACGAGAAAACGTCAGTAATCGCGATAATTTAAAAACTTAACTTTTTAACACGTAACACGCCATAACTTAAGAACCACTTTAGATATTTATTTTTTTTATTTTGAAGATCGGATCTTTTACAATATGTTTAAATAAGAAAAATTCGATAAGTTTGTTTTTTTCCATTCAAAAATTTTAAGCAACCCATCCATTTACTTTTAGTGCATAGCAATTTTCAGTAATCGTGTAACTTTTTTATTTATAAAGATTTTCACATATTGTCTGCGAAGAAAATATAGCAGAAATATTAAGAAAGTTTTTGAAAATACTACAATCAATTTATTTCTAATAGATTTCGAGATATCGATTTTTGAATTCCGAGTTCTAATAACGCGACCACTGTCGAACACCAACTCAATTCCACTTATTATTACAAAAAAATGCAAGTGTTTCTAACTTGCACTTAAAAATTTTCAAGATATAGGGCAAATTATAACGACTTGTTAATAAATAAACAAATAAAGTATCAACAAAATAGAGTTTATAATCATCTGGTGATGATGCTAACATGGTTAGCGAAACGCGCGTCCAGTGTAAAATAAAAGTGTTTTGGTGTATTGTGGTGATTTAGTGTTTTTATTTTGCTGTGTAACACCAAAGGTTCCAACCCTCAACTGTAATAAATAAAGTATCACGAGACGTAATTAAATCGTGAAGCTGAACGCATGAGGTACACCTTTCCCTAGAACTTTAAGTACTGACAGAGGTACTGGTTGGGTCGGCCGCTCGACTGCGACATATCTGCTATATCCCCTTCCACGTCTCTTAGCAATGTGCACAGTTTCTCGGTATAGCTTTTTTCGTTTTCCTGTTATTACCGATTCTGAATCGTCCTAGAACTCTGCAGCGCATGCGCAAATGAAATAATGTCTTCATATTTCCTTCTGCGCATATGCATCACAATTCTAGGACGGTTCAGAATCGGTAATAACAGGAAAACGAAAAAAGCTTTTATTTCATGCGTTTGTCAACGTGTTCACTATTCTCTCTTTGTTCGGTACATTATAAAACGCATTGTACTCTTCTTACATACGGAAATCTCGACCCAAGACTAACCTTTGCCAGCCCTTAGTATACTCACCGTTCCAGGATTCACGGCATCGACATCAGAACTTATAGCATAAAAATATCGGTATCTTTTACCTAGTGGAAATACAATTTTAAAACTTTTAGTAGTTATCATTTTTTAATTATACCTAAATATTTCTCGTAATTTATTCTAGGCGTTTCACATCCTAGATCGCATAATTTTTCAGCCTTAACTAGAATATCTTCATTTTTTGTATAGTATGCACTAGCCAACGAATTATTATAGTTTATTAAATTTTCTCCAACCCCAGTTCCAGGCTTTGGATTTAAAGGCAATACAAACCTTATAGGCCGCCCTCTAAACATCTTAGCATAATCTGGATTGTTATGCATGTCCTAAAAGTACGCTATTTGTTTAAAATTTTGAGCTATATTTTGTGTTTTTACCTTCATTGTTTCATAATACATACAGTCAATCATTGAAGGGTCTCTGTATGCACATATGTCTAGTATTACATAATCTTTGTCTTCATATTGATTTATTATGTGCAGGTAAAAGAAAGTTTCGGCATAAAATTTAAATTGTAACTCTCCATTATGTCTAGAGATCAAATTAATCTGAGTCTGAAATTCATAAAATTACTAAAATTTTATGTTTTGCTGGAGTGGCTTATCCGAGCTTTTTTAGGTATAGTCTGCCTGACGATTGAATAATGACAGTGACAGTTGTCTGTCATTTTAATTCAAAATTATGTTGATATTTTCATTTTTAGTCATTTTGTGAATACTGTATGTCGAAATTTTCTGTTCTTTCATTGGACAGACTTTACCAACATAATAATAATGCAACAAATAAATAAAATTATACGCTTTTTTAAATGGACTTTGGACAAACAAATTTTAATTACGTTTTAAGATGTCTTACATATTCATTATTGTACCATCTGAAAGCCCCAGCTAAAGGTTTGTTTTGAATTTTAGTTGCCAGCAGGCCTGGTAAAGATACACTTAGCGGTTGTTCTATTATGATGAAGTAGTTTTTTGTAATGCCTAAAATTAATACTTGGTAAATTATAGAATATCTGGTATTTGAAATGTTGCCAAATATGTATTAGACGAATTGGCCACAGTACACCAAAACACTTTACTTTGAACACCGGGCACGTCGTTTAATCTAAAATTAGTTTGATGATCTGCTGATGAAGCTAAGAGGTTAGCGAAACGCACGTCTAGTGTTAAAACTAAAATGTTTTGGTGTATTGTAGTCAGAGATGGGCACACACTCAGTATATTTAAATTTGGGTAAATAATATATACCCGGTATTTAACAAAGTATGTTTGTTTTGTCAATTTAACGTACTATAACAAATTTTATTAACAGTTTGTTGTTATGTTACCCCCAAAGACTGCATAATAGCACAGTAAACGAAATATACTCTCAATGGGTTAAACATTGTGTGTATATATCAGGTATATACCCAAATTTCTTTATTATGCCCATTGGGTATTTACCCAACGCCCATCACTGATTGTGGTGAATTAGTGTTACATTTTGTTGTTGTAACAGCAAAGGTTCGGAACCCCAACTATATTATTTAAATTGTTAATAGAAACAGAAAGAAAAAAATAAAAGTAGATCATTAGGAACAAATATTGTTGTCTGTATGCAAGTCATCTCATACCAAAAGTGTGCATATATGACGGATGGAAAGGCCATCTAGCCGGTATTGATGCAACTATTCTTGCATTGTCAAACATTGATTTTTTGCATCCTAGAAATAAGCTTATCTTATTAACGTATTCATTTTTCCAGTAATTAAAAGCTTACCAGAAGAAACTGCTGGGAACAGTACAACATTATGATACGGTCCAGTTGGGTTGACAGATAAACCAATATTATATACGCTACCTAAAAAAATATCGTAATGCTTGTAATACAGTGGAAGTCCTCAAAATATTACCGTACCATCTTCCATTACATGGGGATGAGAAGTATGATTGACAATATTAATATTGGCGCTTATATCAATTCTGTTTAAAGTTTCTAATGTGTTTGGATTTATTTTATGGATAAAAGGAATTTCATTAAATGCATAAATTTCGTCTTGAAATGGGTAAACTGATATCATAGCGTTATCAGACATGTCTGATTTTAAATTAAACATAGATGCAACTCTAAAACATAGCTTGTTATAGGGATCCAAGAATTAATTAGTTATGTGCTATATTATTTACACAGGGTTCGGCAATAGTGCGTCGGGCATTTGTAGCTCCTAGAATAAAAAAAAACTTGTGAATTTTGTTTAAGTACAAACCTAAAGTATGTAACTAGGATGTATTTCAGGAAAATATTTTAACATCTATGGGGTATTTCAAAAAAGCGTGAGTGGAGAAAAATAATTTTATATGCAGATAAAAAAAATCGTGGGTAAGTAGTGAGTAGTGAGTAGGTTTTTATCTGCATATTTACTACTGGGAACTAACAATAATCATAATAATTTTATATGTTTGATTAGGATTTGTTGGATTAATATCTCTGCAACTAGCGAAATATATTTACTCAAATGTTAGGATTATGTAAAGTCATCTGAAAGGGAGCTAAAAATGCAATAATATACAGGGTGCTCTTTAAAAAAAAACAAAGAAAAATTATTTTATGTTTTAGAAAGTTTGGCGTAGAATTTTGAACACCCTGTATGATTTAAAATTATATACGATATTTATATCAAAGTAAGTATAGATCATCTAAGAATAATATATAGTATAATATAATAATTTATATATATATATATATATATATATATATATATATATATATATATATATATATATATATATATATATATATATACAGGAGTGTTTAAAACAAATGCGAAAAACTTCAGGGGGTGATTCCTTGTTCAAAATAAAGGGTAGTTTGCTTCATAAACGTTGGGTTAAAAGTCAACCATTAGGGAGATATTGCGGTACAAAGATGGCGGAAAAATAATGTTTTTATTTTTTATCTTGAAAACGAAAAGAGATAGACTAATAAAATTTTATGGAAGCATTACTGTTATGAAAACACACTTTCTGGTAATTTTTTTACTTTTTTAAAATGAGCGGAAGGGGTTGAAATAAACTACCCCTATCATTCTTGTTAACAAAATTTAAAGAAACATCTTATCAATCACATGCAAAAAAATTAATTTGGATAGTTTAGTTTGTTTAGAAACTTTTTTATCTCTGGTATTTTTTTGATAAAACTCACCGATTTGAAATTAAAAAATAAAATGTAAAGCATTACATGTCAGGACAAAAAAAATTTTCTGATAAAGAATCTAGTGGGCTGCTGTAATTTTTTTAGGAAAAAATCTAGTCGGCCGCTGTTACTTTTAGGATGTTCCTAATATTATTTTATTTGACATTACTCTACTGCAATACGTTATTATCTAGATGATTATTATTATCGTTATTATCACTAGATTCTTAATCTAAAAATGTTTTTTGTCCTGACATGTAATGCTTTACATTTTATTTTTTAATTTCCAGTCTGTGAGTTTTATCAAAAAAACACAAGAGGTAAAAAAGTTTCTAAACAAACTAAACTATCCAAATTAAAGCATTTGCATGTGTTTGATAAGATTTTTCTTTAAATTTCGTTAACAAGAATGATAAGGGTAGTTTATTTCAACCCCTTCCACTCATTTTAAAAAAGTAAAAAAAATACCCTAAAGTGTGTTTTCATAACAATAATGCTTCCATAAAATTTCATTAGTCTATCTCTTTTCGTTTTCAAGATAAAAAATAAAAACATTATTTTTCCGCCATCTTTGTACCGCGATATCTCCCTAATGGTTGACTTTTGACCCAACGTTTATAAAGCAAACTACCCTTTATTTTGAACAAGAATCATCCTTCTGAAGTTTTTTCGCATTTGTTTTGAAACACCCTGTATATATATATATATATATATATATATATATATATATATATATATATATATATATATATATATATATATATATATATATATATATATATATATATATATATATATAATTATATAACTAATATAGTTTTGATTTTAGGACAGTTATTGTATTTTTAATAATTTTTTTTAAAAGGCTGAAAAATATACCGGGTGCGCCTTAAAAGTTGCTTACCCCTATAACTTTTTTACTTTTTTTAGTTAAAAAAAACAGATTTGATATGTTAGTATATGACATAAATTAGGATTGATTGACGTATTCAATTGTTTTCGGTCACTTCCCATTGTTGTAGTCATTTCCGGCGAAACAGGAAAGTGACCGAAAACAATTCAATATGTCAGTCAATCCTAATTTATGTCATATACTAACACACCAAATCTCTTTTTTTTATCTGAAAAAATAAAAAAGTTACAGGGGTGAGCCACTTTTGAGACGCACCCGGTATAATATATTTTTTATTTATTTATTAATATCTCTGAAAGTATCGAAATATATTTACTCAAATGTTAGGATTATATTAAGTGATCTCAAAGAAAGCCAAAAATGCAATAATATACAGGGTGTATATTTTTAAAAAAATCATCCCGATACACTCACATTTATTTGAGCCACCCTATAGAAATTAAAATATGTTCCTGAAATACATCCTCGTACATACTTTAGGTTTGCACTTATACAAAATTCCCAAGTTTTTTTATTCTAGTAGCTACATAGATGCCCGACGCACTATTAATTGCCGGACCCTATATGTAATCATTTTCTGGAATATGTGTAATAATACGTAATATGGCTATAATAATACACTTTTATAATTTGAAGTGTTAGAAATTAGTATCTAACAAAAAAATGTGTACTTTTGGAAGATGGTGTGACATGGATCTGGAACTGCGCTTGTTCCAAATTCAGTAATAACTAATCTGTTAGCTGCCCAAGTTTTCTTGTATGTTTCAGAACGCAGAAACTTGCATTGGTATGTAATTTTTCCTTGTTTTATGCCAAATCTATGGACAAATTAGGAGGTAAATTTTTTTATTCTTAATCGAAGGGTAAGTACTATACAATTGAAAAAAAAAACTGTGGCAAAGAATGCAAAGATAACTTGGAAATAAAGATCTCGGGCATTTTGAATGTAAAATTGTGCGGGTTTACATGCATATACAATGCGTTGTCCATCGTTGATTAAAGCTCTTACTTCAACTCTTCCTTAAATATTGTTGGCTTGGAGGTGAATAGGCCTAACCCACATTTACGTAATTCTGAGAAATTGCGATTTTAATATTTGTCGTTATGTAAAATCTTGAATATTTCGATAGTTTCTTTTTTTTTCGAAACATATTAAGAGTATTGAGTTTTGGTAATGTTTTACTTTTCACTTCTGAAAGTTAAAGCAAAACAATATTTAATATATGTAGTGGTGAATAGAAGTAAGTCACTTAACCCTGATACTGTTAGCAAATGTCAAATTACTTGTTAACGGTTTGTATGTTTAGTTTGATCTATTCACCATAATAAAATATAATGTTTTAAAGAATTATTAATGGAGTAAACTTAGGTATATTCTTTGGAGTAAACTAGTGATGGGAAAAACCGATTAATTTCAATAATCCAGTACTCGAGTAACAAGCGATATCAATAATCGAGCGAAATATCGCTCGTATTTAAAAATACAGTTTTTCACCCGTCACTTGTTATGCTCGTAACGCCAAGCAGTAAGATATGCGTGCGCAGAGCACATATTCTTTCGGTGATGAAAAGGCAAGTAGCAAGCGACTAGCGATTCGCTTGAACGCTTTATTTAGTTTTTAGTTTATTTCGATACGAGCGAATTTTCGCTCGAGTTATCCCATCACTGGAGTAAACCATTTTTTTGAAAATTTGTGTGTTAGACCTATTTACATCCAAGCCGACGATATGATTGGAGTAATGGACGAAGTAGGTATGACGCATGCATGTAAACCCTCACTCATATGGAGAATGCCATCGATCGTGATTTCTACACCAACCCGATGCCGTTTTTTTTTGATTATGTAATAAATTGTTTTTGTGGTTTCCTAAAATTATTTTTTTATAACCTACCTATGTAATAAAGCTGAACTATCAAACAAGTGCTGAAATTCCTCTGCTCCAGCTTTTATGGATCCTGGACCATTTCTTATTAAGCAACCGTTCAACCAGTTTGGTACTATTCCTATTTAGTGGATATATAATCAAAGATTGAAGATACATTTTTAAGTTAGAATAACTGAGTAACTTACCTTTAACATCTCCAGTTAGAGGCTCATTGATCTCTTTTTCGCAAGATCTGAGCCAAACTTCAAACTCGCAATTTGAAAAATACGATTCAGATGGGTTGCCATTGAAATCTTTGGCTTTGTTAACATTCTAAAAGCCAATGTAATATAAAAAATGATTGCTTTCATTATAAAACTATATAACTCTTTGTATGAGCTTAGCAATTGAAATAAAATATTTCACAAAACTTGTACTATGTACAGAAAATACTTCTATTTTATTATTTTTATTAATATATTTCGAAACATATCTCTTGCCTTACTTACTTTTTTCTTTTGAGTAAAATCCAATTTTCTTTTTTGTGGTAAAGGTGACCAAGTAAATACATTTGATTCCATTATATTCATAAAAGAAAGTTAAACAGTATTGCCGCGTTTTTGTTTGGTTTGGCAGGTAGCAAATTTATACGACAATTTAAAACACTACTTGTTATATAGCTACTTCATATACCTAGACATAAATTAGATGATCGCTAAGTGAATTAAAAAAATCAATTTTCTTTAATGGTATTAAAATGTATTATATGTTTGACTTACGTCATATCTGTATAAAATTATCTTCCATTAATAAGATTAAACAATAACATGTATACAAGGTGGCCCATCGAAAATAGTCAAGCAAGGTTTACGGCTTTGTACGTAAAAACAAAAAAATTGACTCTTATAATTTTGTTTTCATTGGCATATTTTTCTTATATTATATATTATTATATATTATTATATTTATATTATTATATCTTGGTACAGTCTCGGTCCTCGGATCGGAATAGGTTCTGAGGAACTAGTTCTTTGAGAAATCGGGAACTAGTTCCTCTCGTTCCAGGGTCGGAATAGTTCACTATAACTAGTTCGTTCACGAACTACACACGTTTAACAACCACTGTTCGGGGTATTCTCACCGGGCATTATTGTTAAGGACATCTACAGTGAAATTTGTTGGCATTCATTAATGGTCGTACCAGAGATGCTTCCTTCCGATGTCATTTATAAATTGTGTCCTGAATTACTCTATTAGTCCTCAGATATTTCCATTTCTAAGTTTCTGAACCGTATAATAAATTTTTCTTTTAATTAGAGAGTTGTAAATATTACCGGAAATATATCCGATTTCAGGCTGTTTTCGTTGGGCTTAGGACATACTAAAAGTTCGTGTCGTTATTAGGATATTTGCAAATTTCCTAGGCAGTACTAGTATGCCTTGATACTTTTTAGGATAAACATGAATGGCCCGATTTGACATATCCGATTTTATATGTTTTATTAGTGAAACATTTTACACGGTTTTAATGGGCTGTAATAAAATGGAATTTTGGAAAAGTATAAACGTAATTAACCATTCTAGGACAAGTAAAACTTTTAATGAAGAATGCAATTTTCTCAAAATGTCAATAATAAAAAGTTTTTCTCTTGTAAAGACAATCCGGTTTCTCCGGAAATGACTACAACTTTTGATTTTCAAATGGCACCTTCGGTATTTTTTTTTACTTTATTCGATAGAAAATGACATTCTGAATAGAATGACATATCATATGTTAACTTTTGACATTCTCGCTTAATAAAAAATTGTATTTTGAAATTCAATCTAGGGTGCCATGGCTATGTTAAAAACATGAATTCTTCAACAAGGAGCCTTGGAAAAATAGATTCGATCGTCTAATGTTTTTAGTCTCTTGTCCTGGCCAGTTCAATGAATTTTTCATTCAAATGTAAATATATAAATAAATACAGCTAAATTCTCGATTTATTAGCTCTCGTTAAATAATAAATCGAATTTTAAAATTAAGTCTAGAGTGCCACGGGCCTCCACAGCTATGTTAAAAACACGAATTCTTAATCAAGGAGGCCTTGGAAATAAAAATAGATTTCATCGTCTAATGTGTTTAGTGTCTTGTCATGGCTAATAATTTGATACCACAAACTTGGTATTTCAAGTCAAATTTTCGTTACGAAAGTTTTAATTTCAAATAAATAACCATATGCGAAAATGTCAAAAGTTGACATATGATATTGTCATTCTATTCAGAGTGACATTTTCTATCGAATAAAGTAAAAAAATACCGGGGTGCCATTTAAAAATTAAAAGTTGTAGTCATATCCGGTGAAACCGGAAGTGATCGAAAACAATTGAATACATCAACCAATCCTAATGTATGTCATATACTAACATACCAAATCTCGTTTTTTCAACTAAAAAAAAAGTTATAGTGGTGAGACGCACCCGGTATTATATTTCCTACGTTTTGTAATATTTTTATTTCAAAAGATTCCATTTAAACAGTTAATAGCTAATAATAGCTTTTCGTGCCTGTATCACCTATATATTTGTGTCTTATTTCTTTGTCGTGTGAACCCGTTTTGTCAAATGTAATCCTAAATATTTATATTCTTCACACGCTTCTATTTCTTCGGAGTTTACCAGTTGTAGGTTACATTTTCCCTTCCTATGCAAAAATATTTCTTGTTTTTGATTTTTATAGTTTTAGAATTGTCTCTAATTTCAAATTGCAGTTACTTTTAGCAGAGGTGATCCGTCTTCATTTTAGCTCGTAACAATAATGGTAGGTTCCTCTTATCACTTAAGGTACATTCAGACTGAAGAGCGCCGAGCGTCGCGTCGCGTTTGCGTCGCCACGAAATGGAATCAATAACTTAAATTAGACCGTTCAGGCAGAAAGTGTCGCGTTCGGCGTTGCGCTAGCGTCCGCTGAGCGTCGATTTCAATCTGAACTGTTTTTCGGCGAGATTTATAGCGTTGTGTTGTTGTCATGGCGTTTAAGGACCAGCACGCAGAGGTGCTAATAGCCGAAATACAGGCAAGATCGGCAATGTGGAATGCAAAATTGCCTCAATATACAAATATACTTGAAGAAATAGCTACAATTCTAGGTATTTCTAGTAAGTATTTTTTCACAGTATGAGTAAATATATGAGAGCTTTCGAAATTCAAGATATAAAAGATGAAATTCTCCATGCAGATATCGTCTTCTGTTTATAGGGTGAATTCCTTAGATTAAGAGTGAATTCCTACTTTTTTGTCCATTCTTTTGAATGTAAAATATGTTGTTTCTAATAGTAACATTAGACAAATTGCTCTCCTTGAAGCCATTTGCTAACTGAAAACCAAAAGAACAAGCTCATATGACGCTGCGCTGACGCTCCCAGCCTGAACGACCGGATGTGACGCTCTCAGCCTGAATGCACCTTTACTCTTAGAACTCTTAATGTAATTGGAAGTGTGTTGATTATTTCATAATTACATAATCTATAATTGACTTTAGTTTGCTAGTTTGTTGTTGTCAGGTCAAGAAAAGTATCATTTTATGTTTGAAAACCTCATTTGTAAAAAAATCTCTCTTAATTAGTGATGGGAGTACTCGAGCGAATTTTCGCTCGAGTACTCGATTATTGAAATAACCGACATCGCTCGATTATGAACGAGCGATGCAAGTGACGAGTACCAAGCGACGAACGCAAGCGATCCTAGAATGAAATAAATTGAAATCCGATTTTAATGTGACATACTCGATAAACAGCCGAGCGAATTTTCTACATACATTGCAGGTAGCAAATTTATACGACGCCGTATATACCGGGTGCGTCTCAAAAGTGGCTCACCCCTATTACTTTTTTATTTTTTTAGATAAAAAAATGAGATTTGGTGTGTTAGTATATGACATAAATTAGAATTGATTGACGTATTCAATTGTTTTCTGTCACTTCCTGTTTCACCGGAAACGACTACAATTTTTGATTTTTAAATGGTACCCTCGGTATTTTTTTTAGTTTATTCGATAGAAAATAACATTCTAAATAGAATGACGTATCATATGTCAACTTTTGACATATTCGCTTAAAAACAAATTGTATTTTAAATTTCAATCTAGAGTGCCATGGCTGTGTTAAAATCACTAATTTTTAATCAAGGAGTCTTGGAAAAATAGATTTGATCGTCTAATGTTTTTAGTGTCTTGCCGTGGCCAGTTAAAAGATGCCCTGGAGCGCTATTCTGTACAATCGTCGGTATCGGCAAGTTACCGACAGCTATCGGTACGTACGGCCAATGAGCGTCGTGTTGATTGTTGTTGTCATAGTTACCGATCGGCCCTATGACACAAAATATACACCATACAGAAGCGACAAAGAGATTTGCTTCAAAATTTTTAGGAGGGGGTAATGCTGGTTAACTGTCAAACGTGACGTCAAAGAATTATACACCAAAAAAAAATTCACGACCGCAGGTATAATTATTTCTAGATATTATGCATAAAAGACTGAAAAATATATTTCATAATTATTTATTTATTTTTAATTCTAAATAAAAATACTGATTAAATCCCTCTAGTTTTTAAAAATTAAATAAACCTGCCTTTCATCATTTTCTATTAAAATCTAACAATTTTCTTTCAGTGTGAAATGCTGTTCAAGGCGCACGGATGTCAAACGTGACGTCACGCAATTAGTTCCCATTTGACCAATGCTATTCAAAGCTCTTTGTCGCTTCTGTATGGTGTATATTCTGTGCCTATGACAGATATCTCAAATTTGTACCGACGACTCTCGGTATCTCTACCGTGAGGTTGACAAGGGCACGGTAGAGATACCGATTTTCGTCGGTACAAATTTGCGATATCTGCCATAGGACCGATCGGTAACTATGGCAACAACAATTAACACATTTTTACTATATACAAATACGTATCGAGAGCTGTCGTAACTTACCGATACCGACGATTTTACAGAATAGCGCCCCTGGTATGGTAAAAGATGCCCAAATCGTATTTTTGATCATATCTCAATTTTTTTTCAAATGGAACGAGGGTGGCTCATTAGCATATTCCGAAAAATATTTTTTTTACGAATAATTTGATACCACGCACTTGGTACTTCGAGTCAAATTGTCATGAACCGCATGTTACAATTTCAAACAAACCATATGCGAAAATGTCAAAAGTTGACATGTGATATGTCATTCTATTCAGAGTGTCATTTTCTACCGAATAAAGTAAAAAAATACCGAGGGTGCGATTTAAAAATCAAAAGTTGCAGAAATTGCAAAACAATTGAATAATATGTCAATCAATCCTAATTTATGTCATATACTATAACATACCAAATCTCGTTGTTATATCTGAAAAAATAAAAAAGATAGGGGTGAGCCACTTTTGAGACGCACCCGGTATATTTATCCATTGCGTATCTGAGGGACAAAATTTTACGACCTACATTGACAATGCTTCGAAATAAACTAAATCGGGCGATCAAGCGAATCGCTCGCCGCTTACTACTTGCCATTCAAAAATTGCCGCTTACTACTTGCCGCTTACAAATTACCGAAAGGTGCCCTGCGCACGCAACTTACTGCTTGGCGCTTGGCCTTCGAGCACTTACAACATGCGACGGACAAAAAACCGTATTTTTAAATACGAGCGATATTTCGCTCAAGTGATCACTCGGTTATTGCAATCGCTTGATACTCGAGTACTCGGTTATTGAAATTAATCGGTTTTTCCCATCACTACTCTTAATGCCCTGCATACCCGCCTAAATATTCGCATATTTTAGCTAACAGGTGGGATTTTTATCTCCATTAACAGTCTGTTTATATAAACTATCATAGGCTGTGTGCATTTCAGTTCATTTTAAAAATTCCGACCGCAGCGCTCGAACGGCAGAAATTCATCCGTGTATAAAGTATTTCACGTAGTATCATTACCGTTTATGCCGATCGCATTGAAATAATATTAAAATCGTGGATATGTCATAATATTTAAGTATTTTGTGGTGGTATACTTTTCTTAATCATCTAGCGATTAAATGTTTTATGAATATTTTCTAAAATTATAATTATGTACATTTAAAAAAAATATTTATAGCCTTAATAACCCCAGTTTTGACCCCACTAGCAAAACAGGTGCGTAAAACTATGCTCACTACCTTAGTTGCACTCATCTAAAAAGTTTTTTTAGCTTGAATAATAAATTATAATACAAGTTAGACCTTCCGAAAATATCAAAATATTTACTTTTTATTTTTAGAATTTTCACATATAGGTACTTCCTAACACTTTTAGAATAATTATATAATACATTTTTCGTATACTCGTTATTTAAACCCGTGTATTTGTATAGCCGGTTGTTTACAATATTCTCCGATTGTGGCAGCACCAGTGGAGAATGCACCAAGCTTGTACTGGTGCTCGAGGTGCCTGCATGTGTGCAAGAAGGCACGGCAGGTAATTCCCGGGTACCCAAAAGTTAGCTAAATCAACTGGCTTGGAATAAATAGGCTGTGATGTAGGTATACATACATTATTATGTCCTTACGGGACATTTATAACATACATATTATGTGTTTCACGAGATTGGACGGGGAACGGATAATGAAAAGTACGGATATCCAGATTTATTATACTGATTTATTAAAATAAACAAGTCGTCCTTGTTTTTATTTTTTTATTAAATGGCTTCTTTACAAATTCTTACATTTATAACATAATACTAAAATATACCCTAACTTCCTTTGGAGTACTTCTTCCAAAACTTCTTAACTTCATCATGGGCATTTTTATTTACCACTAAAGTTCGTTTTTCTTTGTTACACCAAATCAAGACGCCGTTGGATTGGGCGTATTCTTTCAGTACGTTGAAATCAGCCTGTAAGCATAAATTTAATACCGTATGATCGAAAAAAAATGGCGAAAATAAGATGCTTCTTAGACCCAGACAAAGCCCCTAGAGGGCATTCCCCCCAGCACCTCACCAGGAGCTTCCCCACCAAAGACAAGGTCTCGCATCCTAGAGGGAGGACAGAAGACAGTTGCGACATTATTACTATTATTACAATCACATCAAAATTTACCGAAGTCAAAATAGGCGATATAATTTAGGAATAATGATTTAAATGGTGGATTTAGATAATGTTTATATGATTTAGGGATAATCTTAGACCATAAATACAATATGATCCTGAGGGAAAATATACAGGACAATTATATAGGTACTTATAATATAATAATAATAGCTCCCGTATATAGCGTTTGACACCTTGGGAGTAGCAAGGTACAACTTGCCATACTAGAGTCGTTCGGTATACAAGGAAGGTAATGTGGCTAGCACTACGCTTCAACCGCCTATTATTACCTCAGGATTGTGAATCCCAGTACAAATTTAAGGCTGAGTCGACCTAGGTACCCAAACTATTTTTAATTTTAATAAAAATAGTCGGCTGATGAAATGCTGGGTGTGGGATTCGAACCCACTACCTTGAGATTGGTAGACGAGAGCCTGTACCTCTACGCCACCGGGCACCTTATATAGGTACTTCTACTTCCTAAATAAAATGAGAAAGAGAGAGATGCATTAAAGGCGCATCGACTGTGTAGTCTTTTAGCGTCATTTAGATAAAATACAATATCAACTTTTTTTAAATATTAAGCCAAGGGAATTGAATTGAAAATATTCATTGATTGTACCAGAACACTGTGATATTGACGAGTAAAATTGTTTAGGCGTTAGGCCTCTAGTTTTTTATTTGTGTTTCTTGTTGTCCTTTGATTTTTTTGATACTTTTAAATATGTATTTTTATACATATACATATTTATTATATATTCTATATACATGTTAATTTTAAGTAGTTGTGATTATATTTATTATTTTTTGGCCTTTACATGTAGTTACCTTATAGGTGTTTATGAAGTGTAAGTAAATAAAGGTAAATAAAATAACAGAAAAAAAGAATACTGAATAAGAAAAAAAATCAAAAAACTGAGTTGAAATGAATTATTCATATTGTAAAAGCATATACAGGGTGTTTCAAAAAACATGTGCCATCTCTCGCGGGGAGATTCCTCACGTTAAATTAAGATTTATTTTTCATATCAACATAGGTCCGATTCTGCTTTGTTTCGTAGCTACAGGGTGTTAAAGTCTTAATATCTTTTCGATTTATTATAATTTTCTTCCAAGTACTTTTAGCGTTTCAATTGAAATTTTGAGGGTAAAAGTTACTATAAACGCGACATATTTTAAAGCTAAAAAGTGTCGACTTATTCACCAGGGACGTGCATATGGGTAATCACTGAAAAGTACTCATTGATTCCTCATCAAAAAATATGAAAAAAAGTTCCTATAAACATTGGTATAGAAATGCATACTTACAGGATGTTAGAACTTTTTAAAATTACGTTTTTTGTAATTATCTTAAATAGCATCATTTTTTTATTTGAAATTGCTGATAGAAATAATAACATAATATAAAGGCTTATAGTAATATAATAATAAATTAGGTAAAATATATAATTTATAAATTTTATTTTTATTTTAATTTAATTAATTCTAATTTTAGAGTTTATCCCATCAAGCAGGCCGAATTCGACAAAAAATGATAACTTTTAATTGGCATTAAACGGCCTAACGGCCTACACAATTTTGATATCAAATGAAAAAAGTCAGTGGCGCACATGTTTTTTTTTGAAAAATATTCCAGTGATAACTCATACGCACGTCCCTGGAAAATATGTCGCATTTATAGTAACTTTTACCCTCAAAATTTCATTCAAAACCCTAAAAGTACTTGGAAGAAAATTATAATAAATCGAAAAAATATTAAGCTTTTAACACACTGTAGCTGCGAAACAAAGTAGAATCGGACCTATGTTGGTATGAAAAATAAATCTTATTTTTACGTGAGGAATCTCCCCACGAGAGATGGCACATTTGTTTTTTGAAACACCCTGTATATTTAAGTCTCTCTAAGTTTTTTGTACAACTTTTTACCTGAGATAGGAACTGGCTATAAAGCACTCCTTCATGGTAAGTTAGCCTATTTCTTTCGAGTTCCCACAATTTTATTTGATCAACCACGGTAGGCGGTAATGTTTGCTTTTGATCAGCAGCCAGCATCTGGGGATGGGCGTGCTGTTTGAGATAGCCAATTATTTGGTCTGCGGTTATTCCTCCACGAAGAGCCTGCCTTATGGAGTCGCGAGTTATAATACCAACAACTAAGTTAGGAAACCTGAAATAATAATTTTTTTGTTTCCATCTTGTGATTTTTTTTTTTAATTTATAAATAACTTATTAAACGTATAGGAAGATTTTGTTAGGAATAGTGAATACAATAATACCTATACATAAGTTCTGTAAATAATGCAATAAGGGCCACTTGAAGATTAGAATCGGTGTAAGCATAAACCCTGTAATTTGTTTCAACTATAATATACCCTTTAGGACTATCTTCCTCTAAAAGCGGTGCATTCTTATTTTGGCTATTAGTTATATTTAAGGCTAATCTAGTAGGATAAAAACGACCAGCTTTCCTCTAAAATTAAGTAAAATTAGTAAAAACATACAATAATTCATTACTCGGTTACCTTTCTTTGGTAGACTAAACCAAATTCTCTTAAATGCTGCAAAAATATTAAAAGACCAGCGCTCATACCTTCTGTGCTATAATCCTAATGAAATAAGAGAATCTAATCTTTTATAACAATCTTAATATAATTATCGACTTACCTTTCCTAAGGTGCTAAAACTTAGTTGAAATAAAAATGTTAAACATTCAACTAAATCCAAACCTCTTTGTTCAACAGTATCCAAATACTGAAGAAGAAAGTGCCACACTTGAGCTTGTCTATCTAACAACAAAAATTGAAAACCTTGTCTTGTAATAACTGGACTTCCATCTTCTTCATCTCTAGAAATATAATTTGTTTACTATACAGTATTATTTAGACATATTATTTTACTGATATAATTACCTTTTCATAAGTTTAGCATGAAGTAATATTCTTACTGCATCTGCCGAAATACCTTCCTGTTGCTGTGAACCAACCATATAGTGAAGTACACATTCCCACCTTTCAGAGGAATATGTATCTAAGAAACTTACATCTCTGGCGTTTTTATCAGGTTCTAAAGCAGATGACATACTCCACTGTTTACCACTAAAATCATATATGATAAATAATAATCACAGCTGCAACAAGTCAGTTTAAAAAAAAAAATCTTACATCTTAAGTCATTTCTAAAATCAGAATGATTTAAATTTTAAGTCAATCTCAACATAAATTTCAAATGATTTAAGTTTTAAGTCTTTGATTAAATCATTTTATTTCAAGTCAAGTAATTTTTGTAAAGACTTAAATCATGATTATCTGCAAGTTGTCAGTAAAATGACTTAAATCCAATAATTACCCTCAAGTCAAGACAACCAGAATTCAATTTAAGTACCTATTTTTTAAATGTTAATAGTAATTTTCTTCTATTGCCGATTTTCTTATTAATTTATTGTAGGTACAAATAAGAATAAAATCAAGTAAAATAAAACGTTTAACCCATAAACAAAATATAGGCATCAAGAGAAAAACACAACTTATATATTAAATTTTGTGATACTTTGCATTTTGTGGTACTTGCTGCTAAAATTTTATCATAAAAATATATGAAAAATTATTTCTTAAAAGACTTAAATCTTTTCTAAATTAATCAAATCTTATAAAAGATTTAAGTCTTTTTAAAATTCGGAATAAAGCTTTAAGTCAGGCTTTCGAAATATGACTTAAAATCAAATGAACGGTAGATTTTTTATGAGCTTGCGGCTCAGATGATAACATTCATCAGTCTAGTCTTATCTCCGTAGAACAAAGAAGGGTTGAAAAAACATGATTTTTTTTATTTTTAAACAATGTGTTTCTAGTTTCTAAAGATCCCTATATACTTCAGATATTTTACTAGGTTTTAACTGTGCCGTTAAAACCGCGCGGTTAGAAACCTCCATACACTGCCTCATTTTGGTAATTTCCATAAGTTTTTCATATTTTTTTCATACAGAAAAATCTATTTACATACCAAACATGTAACAGAGTTTTAAATATATTTTAAGTGTTCTAAATAAATGTTTAAAACATATATAAAACAAGTATGTAATAGTGTTTTTAATATAAAACACTTGTTTTGTAAAAAAGAATTTAAAACAACAACCCTGGAACAAAGGAACATTTTTTTTATATAATTCAAATACCTAATGCCTATATTAAGAATTATGAGGTTTTGGTATAGTTTTTCCTTGAGTTTTTCTAAAGTCAATTGGAGTAGATTGAGACTCTTAATTTTGGCACTGTATTTGTCGGCATAGCCTGGACAAAGGAATTAAGTCCCAGTACTTCCAATTGACTTTGGAAATACTGAGCACCAAGCTCAATAACTTATATATTGAAAGACAAGTAATAATTTTAAATCTAGAGAAACTTGATGTTGCTTACCCGCCTAAAAGGGCAATTTTAAGATTCCTCTTAAACGTAGGTGATAAAATCCATCCTATCAAACCTCCTGGAAGTGAACCTTCCATCCATACATTTAATTCCGTTAATACTTTAGTAACATAGTTATGTTCCCTAGAAATCACGTTGTTCATCAATAACAGTTCTTTGTTTTATGTTATTAACTAATCACAACTATACCCAGAATAATTGGTAAAATGAGATTTAAACATCAGTGTAGTCATTTAAATGAGGTTTTTTACACCCATTATAAAAATATTTACCTAGCAAATGACTGGGATCCCCACGATGCTACTACAGCTTGCGGAACTGGCTGTTCTACAAAAAGTATCCGTATCACATACTGTCTGGCCAATTCTGGTAATTCCCTAAAATAAATAATTTTAAAATAAAAAAATTATAGTACAGAAATTACTCGAATACCTGTAAACAGCTAGACATATCGCCGGATGATTATATAGCCTTTCTAAGGTATTTGGGGGCCTAGTTTTTAAATAATCATATAAATTCTTACATTCCAAATTACTTTGGGTTATAAATGTTGAATTATCTAGCTTAGAAGTTCCTATTCCATTATCTGCCATTTAAATTAATCCTATAGGTAAAAAAGTCGATTTTTTAAACTTTATGCGAAGTTTAACTAACATTTATAGGTTAAAGATGAAAAGTATATGCGGCTTAAGAGTATTGTTTCAATACTAAACTAAAAGCTATGAATTTTGGTTAAATTTTATTATTTTCATCTGTTCTAAAATAATATTTTCAATTCCGAAATTGTATACTTATTACTTTTTTAAACAAATTTTTAATTTATTTTATTATTGTTGGTCAAAATTTGTGTCAAATTAATGACACATGACATGAGATACCATAGAATAATTTTAGGTATATGAAAATATTAACTAGATTCTGTGGACATTAAAATTTTATATCATATATAAATGATATATGTAAACAATACTACCAATGGAGAAAATTAAAAAATTCATTTTACCATAGATAATATTTAATCCCATATTTTATATCATATATAAATGATATATGTATACAATTGTGCCAACGCAGAAAATTAGTTCATTTTACCATAGATTTTATCCAATTTTTCCATAGAGAAGAGTCTCTATTTTCCACACTTATGTTGGCGAAATTGGAAATTTTTACATTTATGTTATATTGATTTTTAGTTAACTTAATAAAGATAAACAAAAGACAAACAATAGTGTCTGACAAAATAACACAAAGGAAAAATCTTGTTCCATTTTCTTTTTCAAAAAATAAGATTTTATCTAAAAATATGTACTGCTTGATCAAGCTGCTTTGATTTGAAATTTGATGACGTCTATAACTTGATTTGACATTAGATCTGTGTCACTGACGTTCTTTACTTTTTAATAATCACACGTCAGGCAGTTATTTTTTAAAACATGGCAAATGTTATAAATTCTATTTTTCTTCAAGTAAACGAGAACGTAACAGAAAATGCAAGTAATAAAACGACTAAAACACCAAGTACTCCAGAAGGAATGGCTGTGGCTTATGGAAGTTTAGTTATTATGGCTTTATTACCCATATTTTTTGGTTCTTACCGTTCTGTTATTTACCATAAGGAAAAGGTAAAAAGCATAACACATTTTAATTACTAATCAAATAGTTTTCTATTCAATGAAACTTTAGATTTACTAAGTTAGACGTATTATTGGTATTACCGACGTATTTTTTATATAGTCCCTTCATTTTTTTTAACCCTATGCCAATACTATACATATTTTATATACCTTACATTTTTTGTTACAGAAACCCGAAAAAATGACAAAAAAGGATGCTGCTATTTTTCCTATAATGGCATCCTGCGCGCTTTTTGCATTATATATTGTTTTCAAGCTATTTTCAAAGGAATATATTAATTTATTATTAACAGGGTATTTCTTCTTCCTTGGAGTATTAGCACTTACTCATTTATTAAGGTAAGATATGTTCACATTTATCCTTGTTTTTTTTTTAATTACAATGAAAATTATATTGGTATATAATCTACTTCCTTATACTTCATAAAACTATAGTTTTTTGAATGTCTAATTATTTTTATCAGAATTTTAGAAAGCATGCCTGTAATTGTTATTTATTGATCTAATTATGTTTCAGTCCTGTTATAGGAAAACTTGTCCCTGCAGCTATTCCAAATATTCCATTCCATGTAATGTTTAAACAAGGGGAAGGTGATGCAGCCCAATTTCTTATTGACTATAGATTCACCACTTATGATGTTGTTTCCCTTGCTGCCTGTTCTTTAGTAGGAGCTTGGTATTTGTTGCAAAAACATTGGGTAGCTAACAATTTGTTTGGACTAGCATTTGCAGTAAATGCTGTTGAATTATTACACTTGAATAATGTAGTAACTGGATGCATTTTACTATGTGGATTATTTTTTTATGACATATTCTGGGTGTTTGGAACTGATGTTATGGTTACTGTGGCAAAGAGCTTTGAGGCACCTATTAAGCGTAAGTATTTACCGAATCGAAAATTTGTTTTTGTTTATTAAAATCTTACTCCAAAATAAGTCATAACAGAATAATTTAATTGCAGTTGTATTTCCCCAAGACCTTTTAACTAATGGTTTAGCAGCAAACAATTTTGCTATGTTAGGATTGGGAGACATTGTAATTCCTGGAATATTCATTGCTCTTTTATTAAGATTTGATCACAGTTTAAAAAGGAAGACAAAGACATATTTCCATGCTACTGTGGTAGCATATTTTCTGGGACTAATGGCAACCATCTGTGTAATGCATGTCTTTAAGCATGCTCAACCAGCACTTCTTTATTTAGTTCCAGCTTGTCTGGGGACCCCTCTTTTATTAGCTTTAGTCAAAGGAGATCTCAAAACTATGTTTAAGTAAGTGTATGGTCCTTTAAAGTATTTATTTAATTTTAATTATATACACCTTTGAAGATATGAAGATTCTCATGAAGAAAAAGATGAAAAACAAAAAGAAAACAAGGAAACCAAACAGCAAGGCGCAGGGAAGAAAGAAAAAGTTAAATAGTTGTAAAATACAGCTTTATTTCTATGTACTGGAATTCTATGGTTAAATAACTTAATTTAATTAAATTAACTTCCATTATAATGATAACCTGTTTTCTTAGTCAAATAAAATTTCTTCTCTTAGTCGGCTGTGACAAATATCAAATTATTGAACTGTTCAAAATATTTTATGGTCAGATCAAGCTTTATATAATGATATATAACAACTCTTATGGGAAATTGCATAAGAATTTGTAATTATTAGTTTGAAGTTAAGATCATAAAACTTTTTGATCATGACACTGATAATATCAAATTATAATATTGGTCACTTATAAATATGATTTGATTATTATTTATATGAATGTTTATATGTTGTAAAAGTTACTTTGAGAAGGTCAAATTTATTAGTTTATATTCAAAAATAATTATATATAGCTGTATTTTAAAAAGAAACTCTATATATTTAAAATGCTAACTATGGAATAAAAAAACGTTAGAATTCCATGATAGTTACATTCTAAAGTACTGAAATTATTTACTTAATTCTTCCAAATTGTGAAAAATAAGAAATTATGTGTTGAACTTTTTTTATTGTTAAGAGAAATTTTCCATTTATATAATTATTTATATGCAATTTGTTTTTTATTTTTATTAAAATTTTCTTTAAATAAAATATTTATAATAGTTTTATTTGCCCATGCTTAACTAAAACTCATTTTACATGATTATTAATGTTTATTTAAATATTACAAAAATTATATTAAAACAATATATTAATTTTCAAATGATTTTGGAGTAATATCAGGCAAGTCTCTGACACCATTCTTATCTATTACTTGTATTTTGAAATTGGGTAGGTTTACTATTAATCTTCTCTGAATCTCTTGTACACATTTTTTTATTAAGTCATACCCTTGATCAGGAGTCATGGTTTTCTGATAGTTTCTATCCAAGATGGAGAGTGAAAAATAGCCACCATAACCATGAGCTGCATAGTCTACTTTTGCTATTGAAGCAAGGTAATCCATGTAGTAAAGCTGAGGACCGTCCTTATCATCAAATCCCGCCAAAAGTAAATTAACATTATAGGGAGACTAAAAGTGGTGTTAGTTAATTTAATAATTATTATAAGAAAACAATTGAAGAGTAATATTCCTAAAAGATCCCAGTGCCAAAATTAAATTTGTGAATGAAGAAAGGTAAATATGTAAACTTAACAATGTCAAATAAAGGCAAAAAAACTGAAAATTGATGAGTAATAAATAAGTAACTTAGATATGAATCTATTGTGTTGCAGCTTTATCACAATAGATTCATATCTAAGCTAATTTTACAGAACAGAAGTGAAATCAATAATTTTTATAATACATTCAAGACTAAACTAAGATAGTGCTAGAAACAAAGTGAAAAACATGCACGCAGTTACAACTGTTCTTGGCACTTAGAGCCTGCTTCATAAAAAGATTTTAAAAAATGATAGTCATTTATTAATAAACAAATATATTTCCACATCATAGAAACTTTTCTGAATTATTCTATAGAAAAAAACAATTTGGGAGAATTTGGCACTTAACCCTTTAAGAATACCACACTTAGATTGTATTTACCCTGGAACGCAATGTATCAGCTAAATTTCGACGAGTAAACCAGGCAGCTTCACTAGGACTAAGCTCATAAGTATTTCTCATCTTATAAAGTTGAATGTTTTTAGATATATATTCAGCAAATTGTGTTGTGTCGCCAGACTCACCAGCAACAGCCAAAACCAATTTGTTTGACAATTTATATAGTTTGTTTTCATCTAAATACAGTGAAGAGTTTTATTTACCCATATAATTGTTAAATATAAAATTATACTTCTTACCTGACTTCATTACCATTATACTATGAGCCGCAGTTCTATCAGCAGCTATTATAACAAAATCGTTAAACTTTATTCCCAGTAAGCACTCCATACTTTTAAAATAGCTTTCTCTCAAGAAACTTATGCCAAATAAAAAATAATATCGACTAACAAAGAATGCAGGCACAAAACGGCCACAAACCAGTCACAAATCACAAATTTGCTTGGTAATTTTTATATTTGAGGTTACGTTTTGTTTATGTTGCAGCGTCACTGCCTGACTCATGCCTGAATCTTTCAGATCACTAGGGATATTTCGTTATTTCGTTTTAAGATGGTTTTAAGTTTTAAGCAGTTTTAGGTCAAGTTTTTATTACTCTGTAGCGTAAAAATTAATACCCCTAGGTTGGTGTTGGTGTCTCTGTAAAATGTTCATAGACTCAAGTCACGACGTACGTGCTGGCGTCAACGTTCTCTGTCTATTTTACTCAGGGTGCAGCCACACTATCCTAAAAACGGCGTATCGGCGTAACGGCGTAATGACCTTGAATCGATTTCCAGTAATTCTATTGGCTGAAATTTTTGACAGATGAATTTGACAGATAAAATTTCTGACAGATGAATGTTTCAGCCAATAGAATTACTGGAAATCTATTCTCTTTCGTGTTTTGATTTTTGTCAAAACCAGCTGTTTGAATTTGTCAACCTGTGTTGTCAACTGAGATTTCTTTGAATGTTGCGTAGTTCTCAAAACTTTCGTATTTCATTGCCATTTGTAGAAATATAACAACATAAAGTAAAATTCCGTAATACCAAGGGAATGTGTAACGCGTAAAAAAGGTAAAGTTTTATTGTTTAAACATATTAATTACTGTAAAAGGATAAGTTTTGTATGTATAATGTAAATAAATGTTTAATAAATTTTAAAATATGAAGAGCAATAAAGCTTGTTTGGTTTATTTAATATAATTTCTGCTTTAATATATTTTTACTGCTTTTTAATAATAACAGTATTTACATAAAGTTTCAACTGACATATTTATGTGACTTTAAGATGACCTTTTTATATTTTCCTGTTTCTACAGATATGGATAATCATGGAGAATGTTCTAAGCCAAAAAAATCTAAGTCTTGTGCAGAACATATTATTTATAAAACGGAATGGGAACATTTACCATCTGTAATATTGCATCAAATTTTTGATTTACTAAATCAAGAGGATAGAAAAAATGCATCTAGCGTTTGTCAGCATTGGAGAAACACACTTTTTCATCCCAAGTGAGTGGGTTTCTTAATTTTTTCTAGTGTTATTCGTAATTTTAATAATCCCTTTTATATTAAAGATGGTGGCCATCAATGAAATTTAAAATAGAGCATGATAATATTAAAAAGGCAAAATTTTATACATTTACATTTGGACAAATTGTATCAGAAGCCACTGTATCCTGGAATTCTCTCTCGGACACCTGTATACAAGAATTCATTTTATTATTGAAGTTATTTAATAAAAGTAACCATCTCAAAAGCCTTATATTAGAACCTACACATTGCCGTATAGATCCTCAAAAAATAAATAACCAGGAGTAAGTGTTGCACAAATTATGTATTTTAGAGAACTTTTGAGAATGTTTGAATTTTTAGGAACCAACGTATTATTCATGAAATATTAGATTTAATAATTCCTATATTGCCCAAGTTAAACAAGTTTAGTTTAGGATGTGTGGAGGATCTTGCTTATTACACCGATTATATACTAAGGAGTCTAAATCCTGTAAAAGTTAATATATTAGGTCTAGCGTCTATTAAAGATGACCCATTGAAATATGAGGAAAGTTATTTTGATCCCCAATTGATATTACCTTTTAAGGCGCTTCAAGCAAGTATTTTTTAGTCTTAAATATTTAAGTTTTTTGGTTACAATTGATAACTGAAATAATTTAAAAATATTTTTTAGATCTTAAGTATAGATTATGATTACCTCTCTGATGCTTTGTTGTCTATGCTTGAGGGTGCTGATAAATTACAAAGGCTAGTAGTTCATTTGCACAAAATTCGTCAAGATCATGAAGGTACAACAAATAGGGCGTGGATAAATTTCAAAAAAGTTCACCCTCAGTGTCTATTACGTTTATCTCTTATTCATGCATACGATGCTGTTGAAAATTTACATTTGGAAGTTTTAAGGGAGGAAATGCCGTTAAGTCATATTAAGGCATTTTTTTGCGAGAATGTTAGAATAATTTAAAAAACTTAGGTAATTTGTTAATTATTTGTTTTTAGGTTAATATGGAAGTTCTCCATAGCCTTTCGACGTTTTATGCAAATACTTTGCAAAGTGTGGTGTGGATTGATTCCTTGAGTAAAAGTCAGTACAGTTGGAAGTTTTCTAATGAAGCCGAGAGTCCAGACCCATTTGTTTTAATGTCATGGCTGTGTAGTAATTTTGAAGAATTGGTTTTATATGGATATAAGTATTCTGAGGAAAACTTAATCGCTATTGGAAGACTTCGTGGACCCAAAATGAAACGGCTGGAAATTCCAGCCTCTGATATTTTATTTAGCCGAGCAAGAGATAACACAATTGTACAATTGACCAAGGTAAGTAGTTTAGTTATATAAATGCTTAATATCTTTACTTTAATGCTAATACATGCTATTTAAAAAAAAATCATACACAAAATTCTATATAATATACCGGGTGCGTCTCGAAAGTGGCTCCCCCTATAATTTTTTTTATTTTTTCAGATAAAAACGAGATTGGGTATGTTAGTATATGACCTAAATGAGGATCGAATGACGTATTCAATTATTTTGGTCACTTCCTGTTTCGCTGGAAATGACTATAACTTTTGATTTTTAAATGGCATCCTCGGTATTATTATTTCTACTTTATTCAATAGAAAATGACACTCTGAGTAAAATGACATATCGTATGTCAACTTTTGCATTTTCGCTTAAAAAAAATCGTATTTTAAATTTCAATCTAGAGTGCCATGGCTGAATAATGCTCCATAAATAAACCAAATGCGAAAGAGTCAAAAGTTGACATACAATATGTCATTCTATTCAGAAATATACCAAGGGTGATATTTAAAAATCATAAGTTGTAGTCATTTCCGGCGAAACAGGAAGTGACTAAAAACAATTGAATACTTCAATCAATCTTAATTTATGTCATATACTGACATACCAAAAATCTCGTTTTTTTTATCTGAAAAAATAAAACAGTTATAGGGGTTGAGCCACTTTCGAGACACACCCGGTATATTGAAAGTAAAGTTAAAGTAATTCAAATTCGATTGAAATATTTTATATCATTATCACCTATCCTAATATTTTTTTTGTATAGGATATTTCAAAAAATCTGCAAAGATCTTGGAATCCCCTGTATAATAATGAACTTCATCCTGTCATTCATAATCCTGTTGCCGGAGATTCGGATGAGTTTTTACTGCCATTGGTATTGAAAGACTTATATTAAGCAGAACAAATTTAAAACAAAGTAGGTTCCACTACCAATATACCAAAAGTCCTATTTTATATTTACATCGTTGAATCTATACATTGAGATTACTTTTAAATATCATTATGTTCCTTATATTTTCACAAATAAACAATACCTGTGTAAAATTTTAAGAAATAATTGTGGTTTTAATTTATCAGCATGATTTTATGGGTTGTGCCATTTTTATAACATGAAGTTTATGAGTTTGTTTTTTTCTTAAAGTTTTACATAGATATAATTGAATGGAAATTTAGTTAATGAAGTATACAAAAGGAAAATGAAAAAGAAACTAGATTTCCAGAATTATCCGAGTATTTAAAAATAAATGACAATTTTAAATATGTAGTAGTAAGAACTGAACCATCTGTGATCAAAGCTTTGAAACATGCGATCAAAAGCAACGATTGTTAATTAAAATTATAATTGTTTGTTGCCAATTTGATACTTACCAGTACCTGTAAGAATTAAGCAGTGACTTCTGAAGTTTAATTCAATCCAACTCAGCAGCAAAATCTGTTCGTGATAAGCTGCATCTTATTAGGTATGAAAGTTCACATAAAATGATAAATATCAATCCAATAGTTCTAATGCACTGAGTGGGTTTACCAAATGTGATTTAAACTATTATTAAAAAATAAGGTCCCCCAAAACATTACAGCTAAATTATGTATAAAAGATATGCATTTATAATTTTTATTTCTTTTATTTTTATTTTTATACTTTTTTAATTAGTATATTATTGAACAAAGAGGAGTTGAATGTTGATCTAAGTCTAGTCATCCACAGTTGATAAATCACTTAGTGCATGTGTGTAAATATGCTAGAAAATAACCTGAGATTTTTTGTAAATCCGTTGAAGATTGAATATTTCAGCTCTTTGTTGTATGATTAAATGATTACAAGTTGTGTTGTAAACTACTAGAAATTTATTTTATAAATTTTTCTCTGTTGCGAAACATCTATTTTGTTATATATATTATATGTATTTTATGGAAGAATTCATTTTCAGTATTTTATTCAAATCATAATTATTTTTAAGAAATCTTATTCTGTTATGAAAGTTATTAATAATGAAATATCCCCAGAGGAATACTAACTTCATAAGCTTAACTACACTCCAATAAGGGGTTGAATGTGTATGTTTTTTTGTCTTTTTTGTGTTCATTTTATTAATGCAATTAAGTTGCTGGTTTTGTAGTGTTATATACAGGATTATCAACTTAAATTTGTGAACTATTAAGTAACTTGCTTGCTAAAATTACAAAGTTGGTTGAATTTGATGCTTTAAACCCTATCCAAATTTAAAATTTTGCATGTTAGTTAAAGCGACAGCTGGATTGTCGTCAGTTTTCTAGACGGTCGGACTTATTCAGTTAAGTAAAACGCCCGTTTGACTGAATAGCTAAAGGTGCGTATTCTCTATACGGTAGTAGTATTTTAGTTCGGTTCTAGTATGGACGGGACAGGAATTTAGAACCGACCTAACCAATTCATTTGCTAACGCCTTTGATGTACCGAATCCAAACGGATGGTCGAGCTAAGGAACAAACGAACGACCATATGTGTTCGGTTCCCAGTTCAAATATACTGAATTTCATTCAGTCATTTGTTCATTCATTGGTTCAGATAGTGAATACGCACCTTAAGACATAATAAGATAAAACGTTATGTCAATATGGCACTTTAGGGCTCCTCACTGCAACCGGTGGCAGCGTGGCTTTGCTGCATGCTAGACAATTACAATAGCATCTTCTGATATCACAACGCTTATTATTTTAAAAAAACATAAAAAATTACAGGAAAACACTAACTTTTTTCTTTATTAACAAGAAAGTTGCTAATAATGCACACTACTCTTTGATAATCCTGTTTAATTATCGTTTATATGACTGTATTTGCGTTTTTATCAAAATACATTTGAGATAACCAGCCACTTAATAATAAACTATTTAACTATTTAGCATCTGTCAACAGCTAGTTTGCTGGTTGTCAACAACTACAATATAAAATACTAAGGTTGACATTTGCGCACCAGTACATTTGTGTCGAATATATTATCAGAAAAGACACAATTCTATGTCTGTAATAAAAGATAAAAGCATATATTGCGTTGTAATATAGAAACATCGTTCCTAACATTTTAAAGCTGCGTAAATAAAAATGTGGCGTTCTCACAAATTAACCATTCCAATGTAATATAGGGAAAATGAGAGCAAATATTATCTTTTATAATACAGGGTATTTTGTTGGAACTGTTCTAATAATTGTTTAATAATTTTAAGTGCAAACATTATTTAATGATCAGTATTTGTCACGTTATTTTAATTATTTTTAATTTTTCAAAATTTCTATTTGTTATATAATAGTAAATCGAATCTCAAGTATTAAGAACTTTTTGTTTCATATTGTTAATTCAACCTGTAATATTTTGTTTTTGTTTTAACAGGACACTAAACATACATTATACTAGCTTTAAAGCATGCAACTGTGATAAAGTAACAGTGTCCTGATATGAAATATAATGTGCAATGTATGGATGAAAATAAAAACAGGCGACTGCATTTTAACATATTTGCTCTCACGCGGCTAATGCTTAATAAGAATGTGTTAAAATCTAGTAGTACCTGAAAGCAAAGTGATAACTAATAACATACTCTATATAGCAACTAAAGGATATCAGATTACAAGCAACATTGTAAAAAGAAACAATATAAAATGTGATTGAGCTGATGCTAAAAGCGCATTTCATTAAATTATTTTTTAAATATCTCCTTTCCAAACAACCATATCTCTGTCCAACAAGCTTGGGCAGATTTTGACATATGACATCCAAATTGCAAAAAATACAATTTACCCAAAGATTGTCTCACTGTGAAAATTACAAGTACATTTTCTTGGCATTCGCTGACAGTCGTGATCAGTCGACTATAATTATATGGCATACACATACAGTCTTCTTCGCAGTCATTGGCAGTCGCTTGCCAGTAAAATTATATTTTGGTAGTACTTGTACATTTTTTACTCAAGTGAGACACCCCTCGAATTTACCTTAAGTGACACCTGTCATTTTAATTCAGTGGTCAATATTTTCGCAGACTCGATTGACAGACTTCACATAGGATATGTAAATATAGCCTGTTTAAGTATATTAGCTATGTTTGACATTGAATTTTATGTATATACCTATCCATGCTTGGCTGTTTGGATCAGAACTGTGTTTAATGTCTATTACAGCAATACTCTTTTTGCGTGAAAAAAATGGCTTTGTACCTACAAATAAACCGTACAAACCAATATTTATTATTAATGTTCACGATAAAGCAATACCAAACACGGGACTAGTGGGACCAACACGTTAAAATTGTTTAGTTATTCCATTGCGAAAAAAATAATTTAACGAAATCGTGCTTTTAAACCAAGATCATATTAATCTCAATTATCTGTGATGTTTAACGGACACATTGTAAACAGCGTACATATGTTAAAGAACGCTCAATTGTTGCAATGCTGGTCTTTGATGAGATGTGTAGCTATTAAAAGCGGGTGTATTAAAATTACGGCGAATATGTATCTACCAATGAATCTGAGTTAAAATTGGAGTAATTCTGTAGCAAATCAATAGGGGAAATGTCTAGTAACAAGCCTAGGATGCACCTGGCCAATGTTATCATTCGTTCGCGTTTCAACCATTCGCGGCATGCCACGAATGTATGAATACACCTGAGAAAGATTTCCTCGAGAATGCGAACGAATGGTAACATTCGTCAGGTATATCCTCGGCTTAATGCAGAGAGTCAGAGTTGAAAACTGATGTAGTAAAATAATAAAAAATATTTTATTCGGTATATGTATATTATTACTTTATATTGTAAAATATGTCTACCTCTGAGGCGGATTCATCTCTCCAAAAAAGTCCTATGGGTATTTCGCCACTGTAAGAAAATCTACAAAATAAAATAGTTATTTTTTGTAAACACTGCTGACTGCTGCGTTAATCCAAGGGAGACTAATTGCCAGCAAATTTCCGACGACGGAAAGAGATGCCAGGTGCCTCTCAAAAGTGGCTCACCCCTATAACTTTTTTATTTCCTCATATAAGAAACGAGATTTGGTATGTTAGTATAGGGCATAAATTAGGATTGATCGACGTATTCATTTGTTTTTGGCCACTTTCTGTTTCACTGGAAATGACTACAACTTTTGATTTTTAAATGGCATCTTTGGTATATTTCTACTTTATTCGATAGAAAATGATACTCTGAATAGAATATCATATCATATGTCAACTTTTGACATTTTCGCTTAAAAACATACCGTATTTTAAATTTCAATCTCGAGCACCATGGCTGTGTTAAAAACACTAATTTTTAATCAAGGAGCCATGGATTTAACCGTCTAGTGTTTTTCGTGTCTTGTCCTGGCCGGTTAAAAAATGCCCAAATCGTATTTTTAATCATATCTCAATTTTTTCAAATGGAACGAGGGTGGCTCATTAGCATATTTGGAAAAAGCATTTTTTTTAAGAATAATTTGATACCCTTGGTATACACACATACCAAGTTCGCTCTAGGGTATTTCAAGCCAAATTTTCGTTATGAACCGCCTGTAACAATTTGAAATAAACCATATACGAAAATGTTAAAAGTTGACATATGATATGTCATTCTATTCAGAGTGTCATTTTCTATCGAATAAAGTAAAAAAATACTGAGGGTGCCTTTTAAAAAGCAAGAGTTGTAGTCATTTCCGGTGAAACCGGAAGTGACCGAAAACAATTGAATATGTCAATCAATCCTAATTTATGTCATATACTAACATACCAAATGTCGTTGTTTTATCTGAAAAAAAATAAAAAAGTTATAGGGGTGAGACATTTTTGAGACGCACCCGGTATACTTTTCGAAACGTTAAGCAATTTTTTGTCCATTTGGCAAATTTGTTTATTGTTGACAATTATAATAGTCTCCGCTGGATTAACGCAGCAGCTTTGGCAGCAGTGTTTACAAAAAATAACTATTTTGTTTGGTAGATTCTCTTACAGTGGCGAAATACCCATAGGATTTTTTTGGAGTTACTTTATATTGGGTAAGCAAATTAAATTAAAACTTAAAACAGTTGGATCGTAGACAATTAAAATTTTTATACAAGCAAACTATTCACGAGATACATTTAGTTTTAGCTTTAAAATATGACTATTGTGTGCATCTGTACACTGTATTAGTAATTTCATCTAGTCTTATTTATAGTCACAGTTTTACGGTCTTCCTTGTTTGCTAGCAATTGTAAATCTACCTATGTTAAACGTAGGTGCTGCATTATTTACTTAGATATTTACTATATTTTCGACATTTCTATAGTTTGATAACACCGGGGTAGTACCCAATAAAATATTGTTTTAAAACGTAATTTTAGGGGTAAAATGAAAGAAAGGTTTGATGACAATAATGGTAGTTTGTTGAATGGCAGAACGGCATGATACAAGTGCGATAGTTTTTTTTTATTTTTAAGTTATTTTGAGTTGATGTTGCCTATAGGGTAGAATATTTATTTTACAAAAATTGGTATAAACTATCTCACATTTTTTTTTTATAGGCAACTTGTTTTTATAATATAAGAGTTGTTTAATCTATTCAGCAATTCTACAAGAACAACTCTTATTTATATATCTTAAGGCGCATTCTCACGCTTCGTGTACTGGCCAAACATTTGTAATTGGTATACAGGGTATACACGGTGCGTCGGGCATCTATACAGAATTTCTAAGTTATTTATTATAGGAGCTACGCCGTACTCTCGCCAGACCCTGTAGGCCAATAAAAAATACTTGCCAAGTACACGAATCGTCAGAATCCGCCTTTATATCGTTTAAACGGAAAAAACGGCGTCCAGTTGGCTTAAAAATGACGACCAATGCCATTCCCCATATATTTTATATATAAAATGACAACTGTCTTCATTTCGCAGCCATCGCTGAGGTCGTTTTTTTGGTCATAATGTTTTATTTTATGATTTAAATGTTTATTTTTTTTTATTCAAAAATGTTAAGTTTGCATTTTTTAGATACATACATAAATAAATATAATACTAACGTATTTGTCACTTATTAAATGCTATCGAAAAAACGGCGGTAGAGTTGGCGTGGAAATGAATATTGCTGTCAGTTTGAAACAGACAAAAAATATACAATTATATGATAAATGTCAACGATTGTTACTTTCAAGCCAACCTGACGCTGTTTTTATACGTTACTCTTCTCTTAATTTTGTTCTCTAGAAAAATATTTGTTAATGGTTTTTTTATTAGTGGGTTAGGGGCGTACATTTGTACTGTCGTGCGTTTGGCAAATATTTAGATTCCATTGGCAAATATTTAGATTCTTAAAAAGTAACTTAAAATCTTTTTGTTAATTTTAGAAGTAGATATTAGACATTGAGATTGTTGCACAATACGGCTATCATTAAAAAAATGATTACTCAAAATAGGTATTACATATTGACTTAAAATTCTATTACTCAACTAAAAATTGTATGATTCTTTAGTAATTCTGCCTTAATAACAAGAACTGTTTATTTTATTTCTAACACTTTTTATATTTTATAGATTAATATTGTTATTTGTGAATTCACATAATTATTTTGTAGGTACACGTTATTATTTTGAAAAACAAAATTTGTTTCTATTTTGTAAATTTTGAAATTGTGTTTAGGTTTATTTAAAAATAAAAAAAAAATGGATTTAAAAATTAGTTAATATTTAGCATATATCTATTAATTATTTTATAGTTTTCTTACTACCAGTATGAATATATTTTTAAATTTTTTGTTTTAACATACCGGCATGCATCTGTAAGTGTAGCCTTTATTAAATATATACATTTTATCAATAGTATACTTGTACTGAACTAAGTCTACAATACCAATTTTTGTGTTGATATAAATATTGTATTCATTTAAAAGACATTGCTATTAATATAAAAGCATAGTTACTAGCAGTAGATCAGATTGTTTAAAAATAACGACGATATGTATCTTTTAAGATGTATCTAGCTATTTGTTTAAAATTTAGTGTTTACTGATCTAATTAGTTGTATTGTTTAAAAAAAATGATATAGAAAATAATGTATAGAATGTTCAGCCATCGTTCACCGTCACGTCATATATTCTCGACCTCTTTCAATCACTTGATTCATTAGTATTTTAATAAAACACGCTGTTAGATGTATCAACATTTTTATTTTTAATAAGAGTAACTTTAACTCTACGTATATGTTTCGGCTTGTTAGGCCTTTTTCAAGAGTTTTTTAAAAACTAATCCAAAAACAGGTATATGTAGAGTTAAAGTTACTCTTATTAAAAATAAAAAAAAATTGATACATCTAAAAGCGTGTATTAAAATACTAATATTTAAACGATGTTTCACAAGGAACCAACCACAGCTTCAGTACTATTCACTTGATTCACTTAATAACCAGATGAAAGATATTGGTATACATGTTTCTTTCAGTAATTTTCATTTGATTTGGGTTTATAATTTTATTGACGGACCGACGGACATCGACCAAATATCAATGTCAAAATTAAAAAATATAAACATAAATATGAACTGATAACTGATCTCAGATACCCTAAAGAGTACAAACATAGCGGAGCATCTCGATGCGATGCTCGCCGTAAGTGCGCGTAGGATGCATCGCGGCGAGCATCGCATCGAGATGCCCCACTATGTAGGTACCCTAAAACTCATATTTGACAAATAATGATTACGTAACGGTGAATGGTGGCTGAACATTCTCTACATATTTCATGTTTTAAGAAAAATTTTGATTTTTTGACATTCTAAAGATTTCCAATAACACAAGATATATATCACTGTTTTCGAATTGGTATATTTGTTCCTCAGAAATGAAAACTATTTGAATTTAAATATTACCATGTATAAATTAACTTACAAGTGATTAGATCAGTGTTTTCAGTTCATTAAAATAAAGCTATGGTAAAATATGTATTATTTTATTAATTTCCACAATCCTATACTATCCACAGAATTTCTATAATTACAATCATACAGCAAATTAATAACTCATTAAATCTCATTATGAAATAGTTTATGTAAATCACAGATCTTTTAATCTTATCCTAAAAATCCAAAAATGTTTTATGTCCCATTCTTATGAGATTTATTAAAAATATTAAGATATTTGCCTCTAGTAACTTCTTTGGCTTCATCAACACCCAATTGATAAGCAATATCATGAAGTTCTTTTACTTTGGCTACTAAGCATGGTGTGGGAAGGGCAGCCAATTCTAAAATAGATATAAGAATCAATTTGTGGGGAGTTTATGTTAAAAGCAATACAAATAGACAAACAGATGAAGATGTACAGCAAATTGAACTTACGTTGGATATAATTATGATCCTCTTGTGTGAGTTCCTTTGAATAAGGCATTTTTGAAACAACCTGATTGTTGTAACTGTTCATAAAGTCGGTTACACCAGGAACTAAAAAATAAACGAAACATAAATATACCTATTTACCGATAATTTCCTAAGCACTACTTTTTTCTGGCCACATCTCAGGCGATGATCTATCTAAATTTTCCATTGTTAATAAGCTATTTCCAAATTCTACCAAATTCTGTTGTTCTGCGTCTGAAAAGTAAAAATCGAAGTATTTGACAGCTTGGTATTTAGTCATCCTGCGAAAGAGCAGTATTTAACTCTCAAAAGATAATAGGACATTGAGTTTTATTAAAAGTAATGCTACAGTCGATATTAATTTTAATTATGTTATCAGCCCTCTGAATAACAATTAAAAATTAATGAAAAATGTAATTATATTTTACCTTGTTCAATGATCCCGGGTTTCTCGGTCGCCATTTTGCACTTCTGCCAACATAAAACTGAATATAGTACGAATTTTTAAATTCCCCTATTTTTAAATTTGAATTTGAAATTTTTTGTCAACGAAATTCAAATTTCAATATTATTAAATGTTGATTATATGATTTTGCAAATATACACATAATAGTTATTAAATTAAAATTTATTCCGTTTAATGAAATTAAATGTTTATGTGTTTTTAAAAAGATGAGAAAATTCGCCTGAACTCCTAAATATTCAGTTGCATAGAGGGCATCCTACAAAGATTGGGATTGGTCCAAATAGTGAAGTAAAATTTTGATTGGATAAAAATAATAAATCTAAATATTAAATCAACGTTGCCAAGTTTAAAAAATTTCTTTTTCTTACAAGGTTTTTTTTTTAAATTAATACATTTTTTATAAAATGTTTATACATTTTCCAATAATAATTATTTTATTCGTGAGAACTACTCTATGCTATTTTTAATTTTAATTGTATATCTCCTTTAATTTAAAAGAGTTTGAATTGAGCATTAACAATATATTTTACATTTTTTGTTTTTACATATTATAATCCTTATATAATATAAATAATAAAGTAGATATAATATAGGATAATAAGATAGATAATAAATGCCTATTAAAAGTCCATAAAAGGGCTGCTCGGCTCTTGGCATATAGATAGTTGCACTGGTCCAGAGACGATGGTCTATCATAAACAATCATAAAGTATAAGCCGTGGTATGTAAGTATACGTGTACGTAACTGTAACCTGTGCCTGAATATACTTAAGTATACCTGCGGACTGCGGATTACTTTATGTGGTCTATACCTATAACCTGTGATATAACTACAACCAGAGTTACAACCAAAAGTTACAACCATAAAATAATTAACTAGGTTACAACTACCTATAGGTATATTGATAACATTCTATTTTATTATTTTATTTGTAAATCATCTGCATTTATTTTCTATGGGCCTAAACGTGGCCTAAACCAGAGGCCTAAACTGAGATAGAAATTATATGATCTATAGGAGAGCATAAAATAATAAACTTGGAGTCTTGAGGGTGTTTTTGAAAAGTTTTTCCGAAATTGTATAGATTATAAAATATAAAGTATGTATTTTGAAAAATAAATTAATGACCATGACCTACACCACAAAACCATGTTTACGTTATAAAAACTTATGTAAGGTGATCAGGGTTCGGAAAACTACATGTTACTTTTAAAAACTACATAAACTACATTACATGTAGTTAATGTAGTTTATGTAGAGGCTGTAGTTTATGTAACCTATGTATGTAACTTTCAAATATCATAGGTTTGAGGTGAGGTTATAATAAGTTGAAGCTTTAAAAACACATACTGTATTTAAGAAAACAGAAGTAATATGACTTTAAATATAATATTTACATCATATTATCTCTATTTCATCTTATACAAAGGAAAATTGTTCATAATATCAATACATAGTTTATTAACGTAGTTTTCATGTAGTTAATGAACGGAAAAAGACGTAGTTTTTGAAGAAAAACTACACGTAGTTAATCAGGTAAATTACGTCTTAATTAACTACTTCCGAACCCTGAAGGTGATGCCCGATGCCCGATGCCGTGAATGCAAATATGATGCAAATCATATTTTCACTTGTATTGTCTAATTCTTGACTGTTTTTAGTTATTCTATGGTGTCTAGGCTCTTCTGCCGTATAACTAATTAAATTAATTGTAGAGTTAATTGTATGTCATTGATTATAAGTATGCACATTGTATGTTGTTGATTTGAGGCTTTTGAAGCAAGCGTTGGTAATGAGTATGAGAGAGATGGATAATATTATAGAGCGATGACTTGCTTCAGTAGTTAGGAGTAAAGAGATATTTACGATACGAGTAAAGACGTACGTTTAAAGAATGTATTGTGTAGAATGTCAGAGAGAACGAGAAAAAGCAAGTCTGTGATTATTGTTTAAATATGTAGATTAAATACGTACAAGACACAAGACAACATAGGATCGCGCCATATTGAATAAAATCATTCGTCTGTTAATTTTTACGTGAAGAAAAGTAGTAAGTGGCGGTATATTTGTTGATTTTCAATTGAAAAAAATTGTGATGAGTATAAAATTAGAAGTGGATTAGATATGGTTAAATTCTTATTTTGTTATTTTTACCCAAGTTAAAAAAATCGAGTTAATAGTTAATAGTTGATTTTAATTCTGAAAAGTGTACGTGTGTGTACAGAGATAATCGATTTGTCAACGCGAGGTTTAGATTACAATTTCGGTGCACTAATTGACCCAAGGTACGTTCAATTATTTTACGGAAATATACCGTGTTGGGTGTCGTTAAATTCGATTTTTCGTGGAGGTTTCAGTGTTTGAGGTTATTAGATGTGATTTTCGCGGGGATTCATGTAAATATCTAAAATAAGTGTAATAAATAAAGCGTAGCATCCTCGGGCCTCGGCCATTCACATCGCATCGCAGCTGGCTTATGAGGTGTCGGTCGCTATACCTATGTATATGTATTAGCCTTTTCCGGTATCGGGAATCATTTATAAAAAAGACTGTAATTTGCAAATGGAATACGGGTTAATCGTGTGTGATCAACATTAATTGTGATTTTTATGAACTGAAGTATTTTACATTTCAATATTGTTCTATTTGTATTTGAACTGATCAGCCTGTAATAATGTTTATGATCAGTCAATTGGAACTTGTTGGGTAATCAAATTCATAATAATAGGAAGTTAGGAAAAATCGTTCTTTTGGAAATATGGAAGTTGATGAAGTTGTTGTGGATTTAAGTGTAGGGTATGTTATTTTTTTTTCTATTCAAATGTATAAATTAATCATTTAATTGATTTGACATTAATTTTTTAATTGTTTATCTTTGAAAACTATCTAATCTAATATGTTTTTTTTATCATAAACATTCTTCAAATTTACATATCTAACGTAATTAAGTAACAAATACATATCTCATATATTTGCTTATCTGTATATTTTAGATTTTATTTTATTTTATATACGTTATATAAATCTAGTATTGCAGTTAGATATGTTCATAAGCAATTTTATTTGTGATAGGAATTCAAATCGACAATCATCTTCTGTACCTCCTACTTGCCGTGATAGTGTTCAAATTGAACCAAGGGTTCCTGCACCACCAACAGCAACAATGGTTAATTCTAGACGAGTTTTAAGACCTCGTACTGAACCAAGAAGCTATGTAGAGTCCCCAGATGCCCTTATAAATGGATCATTAGATAGAAGACTTAACGGGATTGGAATGGACTATGGCGATAGCGATTCTAGTGATGGAGAAATGCCTCCATTGCCACCACCAATTAAAGAGTTATCACCAGCTGAGCTCAAACAAAGGTAATAGAAGAGGTGAACATTCCAAGACTAATACCTTTAAATCAATATAGCAATTGTCATGTTTTAAGAAAAACTGCAATAAGTGAATTGAAAATTATGTTTATTTACTAGGGACAGGGGACTTCGTAGGTTAAGAGAAGAACTTCGGGCTGAAGAAATGAAATTAGTTCTATTAAAAAAATTAAAGCAATCCCAACAGTTAAAGGAAAATGTTGCAGTTCAATTACCTCCAGGAGTTCCTCCTTCTGTTCTGCCCCCTGCAGGTTTGCCAAGCGGTTTAAGTATAACACCTACGATAGTAAAGGTGAGAATAAAGTTTTAAGTAAATAGAATAATTTCAGTTTAACTTTTACTTGATTTTATAGATACCGCCAAATAATAGCAAGACTCAATCACCCCACACTGCTCACATGAGACATCCAAATACCTCAAATTCACATTCAAAAACTGTTCCTCAGAATGTTCCATCTCTGTTAAGAGGGGTAAGCATTTGCTAATATTTTTTTAATTTGTTAATAATGGTTTTTGCTAATTATTAATTTAAATTGAAGAGTGGAAATACCAAAGGAGGTAAGTGCCAAATTTTTCAATATTAAGTTATTAAATTAGAAACTTAATAAATACTATGCTGCATGTTCTAACAAAAGTTACAAGTGCCATGCGAAAGCGTCTATTGTTTATGTATACCGGGTGCGTCTCAAAAGTGGCTCACCCCTATAACTTTTTTATTTTATGAGATCAAAAACGCGATTTGGTACGTTAGTATATGACATAAATTAGGATTGATTGGAGTATTCAATTCTTTTCGGCCACTTCCTGTTTCACCGGAAATTACTAAAACTTCTGATTTTTAAATGGCACCCTCAGTATTTTTTTACTTTATTCAATAGAAAATGACATTCTGAATAGAATGACGTATCATATGTCAACTTTTGACATTTTTGCTTAAAACAAAATTAAATTTTAAATTTCAATCTAGAGTGCCATGGGTGTGTTAAAAACACTAATTGTTAATCAAGGAGCTTTAGAAAAATAGATTTGATCGTCTAATGTTATTTGTGTCTTATCCTGGCCAGTTAAAAGATGCCCAATTCGTATTTTTAATCATATCTCAATTTTTTTTAACGGAACGAGGGTGGCTCATTAGCATATTTGAAAAAAGCATTGTTTTACAAATAATTTGATACTACACACTTGGTATTTCAAGTCAAATTGTCGTTATGAACTGCATGTTAGAATTTCAAATAAACCATATTTGAAAATATCAGAAGTTGACATATGATATGTCATTCTATTCAGAGTGTCATTTTCTATCGAATGAAGCAATAAAACACCGAAAGTACCATTTAAAAATCAAAAGTTGTATTCATTTCCGGTGAAACAGGAAGTGACAGAAAACAATTGAATACGTCAATCAAGTCTAATTTATGTCATATACTAACGTACTAAATCTCGTTTTATTATCTGATAAAATAAAAGTTATCGGGGTGAGCCACTTTTGAGACGCACCCGGTATTATATATGTATTTTAAAAGATATTTTAAAAATTTATTAGTTTCAGTTCTACTGTGTTTTTCTCATTTATCTCGAAAAAATAATTTTGGCTCTTACCTCCTTTGGTATTTCCACTCTTCAATTATATTTGTAATCCAGCATTTAAACATTTTAAGATTACATACCATGTGAGTGATATTGGTTGTGGTATCACATTTTAATGTCTAATTACTATTACTATTAAATATTTTAGCATATGTAAAATTTTCTACTTGAAAGATAATTAAATTTATGTATCTACAAGAAACAAGATTGATAAGTGTGTTTGAAAATATTTTTTATTTTCACAAGATTAGATCTTTATCTTTTCGTTTATCATTGCTATATTTTGTTCATTAGTTTATGTCACTGATTACGTATTAATTAGCAAATTAAAAATAATATAAATTAGTTATATCAGACATGCATTTATACAGTATGTCCCCGGCTTGTCTTTACAAGAGGAAACACATTTTTGTTATTGACATTTTGAGAAAAATGCATTCTGCATAAAATTTTTTGCTTGTTCTAAAATGGTTAATGCCCTGTTTATACTTTTCCAAATTTCCATACCGTTTCAGAGAAAATTAAGAAAAATATGAAAATATGGTTGACTTTCTTCTAAGTTCTAAAAATCAAAAGGCATTTCTATGGTAATATCAATTCGATTTTATTCTTTGATAGATGGTTATTATTAAAGGTTGATTCTCACTATACCTTCCGTTTCCATTCAATATCCATTCCATATCTGTTTCGTATTTTTATTGTATTGACGCTATAGGTAAGCTTCCGTTCCGTATCAGTTCCATACTTTTTATTGTACAATTTATATCATTACGAAAGTTTTAATTCAAAATTTTCTATCTTTTGAAAATGGTAATAGATTTAATTAAGAGGCGAAAGAATAAATAAATATCAGCAAAATTTTAACAGAGCTGGTACAAATGTAAGAACTTGACAACGCTGTTTCCGATACGCTTCAGTCCGTCCGCCAAAAAATTTATGGAAGGAAAGGATATGGAACGGAAGGGAAACGGAACGGATAGTGTGCATTGTCCTATTCATTTACATGATATAATATTTTATGTTATCAGAAGGGAAACGGAAGGGAGCTGATATGGAAGGTATAGTGAGAATCAACCTTAATTTTGATCAACGTCATATTTTTCGCTGTTATTATGATTTTCATGTTTTTATTAATTTTCTCTGAAACGGTATAGAAATTTGGAAAAGTATAAACGGGATTCCAATTCATATCTCAGTTGATAAATAAAAAAAAACTTCTCCGATGCCTAACTTCCACGTCTTCCGATCGTTCCATTCTAAATCAATACTTTTTATATTAAATTTGTCATAAAAACGGTATTTACTCGACATTTAATAAATCATTGACTCTAAGTTAGAAAAAAATGCAATCGTTTTTTGTTTCAATGTACTCAAACATGCTTAGGCCTAAAAAAACTAGAAAAAAAGGTTTAAAACATTTCTTTGTTCATAGAAACTCAAATTTATACAAATTTTCCCGAAACTTTGTTTGAATTATTAATAAAAAAACTTATAAAATTATTGTGCATTGAAGTTTGACGATGAATATCTTTGAAATGGTTAATTTAATCGACTAATCATAAGAAACCATTTTTGTAGAGCAGTGAATTTTCTACAAAACCATGAGTATCATAATGATTTTTGTTAACGAATTATAAGAAAAAAAGTTAAGAGGATTCATAAGAAAAAAAAATCTGCCTTAAAATAATCAAACTTCAATCTTTAATAACTTTCGAACGGTGAGGTTTACAAAAAAAAATTGTAAGAGATCTTTTTTGTAGAAGATTCAATTTCCTACAAATACATGAGATATTTTTTCCAAATAGTGGATACCGAGATATGAATTTTTCTTTCTAATAATAAGGAAAAAATAGAAAACTGAAAGGCGGATGTCCTTCCTATTAAAATTAAGAGCTGATACTTGGAGAGAATTTTTTTGAGTTGTCTACCATACCATTCTTTTCAGAGCATAAAGTGAAAAAAAATAGTCGATTTTTTTGACCCACCCCTTGTATATACCGGGTGCGTCTCAAAAGTGGCTCACCCCTATAACTTTTTTATTTTTTCAGATAAAAACCCGAGACTTGGTATATTAATATATGACATAAACTAGGATTGATTGACATATTCAGTTGTTTTTGGTCACTTCCTGGTTCATCGGAAATAACTACAACTTCTGATTTTTAAATGACACCCTCGGGATTTTTATACTTTATTCAATAGAAAATTACATTCTGAATAGAATGATATATCATATGTCAACTTTTGACATTCTCGCATAATAAAAAATCGTATTTTAAAATTCAATCTAGAGTGCCATGGCAATGTTAAAAACACTAATTCTTAATCAAGGAGCCTTAGAGAAATAGATTTGATTGTCTAATGTTTTTAGTGTCTTGTTCTAGCCAGTTATAGAAAATTCTCAAATCGTAATTTTAATTATATCTTAATTTTTTCAAACGGAACGAGGGTGGCTCATTAGCATATTTGGAAAAAGAACTTTTTTACGAATAATTTGGCACCACACACTTGGTATTTCGAGTCAAATTTTTGTTACGAACCGCAAGTTAAAATTTCAAATAAACCATACGCGAAAATGTCAAAAATTGACATATGATATGTCATTCTATACAGAGTGTTATTTTCTATGGAATAAAGTAAAAAAATACCGAGGGTGCAATTTAAAAATCAAAAGTTGTAGTCATTTCCGATGAAACAGGAAGTGACCGAAAACAATTGAATACGTCAATCAATCCTAATTTATGTCATATACTAACATACCAAATTTCGTTTTTTAACTGAAAAAATAATAAAGTTATAGGGTTGAGCCACTTCTGAGACGCACCCGGTATATTTTAATTAAAAAAAAACAATATTCTCTTTAGCAACCACCTGCTGTTCGGAGCAGCATTCATGCGCCCCAAATTACTGCAACTCCATTGTCTAGTGGCAGAGCCACCAATTTGTCAGTTCCACAACCACCGCAAAGGTCCAGTATGGGACGAACTTCTAACACGTTTCCACCAGGTGTTAAGGATTTGTCACCTTCTGTCACTATTACACCTGCTCCACCTCAATCAGTAAAAGTAAGTTAAATTTATTTTTAAACATATCCTTAAATTTTTCTATAATTTTAACACTTTGTATATTCTCTTGAAGTATTTTATTTTCCAAAATGTATGCAAAGTTTGTCTAGTGAGCGAATACTTGAGAGTGACAGTCGTCTGTTATTTTAGTTTACAGGTAAATTGCATGATACAAAGAAAACAAGGTATGATCGGTAGCGGCTCCAATTTCGTTCAGTTTGCGCATACCACCTGTGACATCATACGCCATACAAAAAATATTCATATTGTTGGCCACCATGGTACAAAGAGAACAAGTTATGATCGATAGCGGCCCCGATTTCGTTAAGTTTGCGCATACTACCTGTGACGTCATACGCCATACAAAAAATATCCATATTGTTCAATTGCCACTAATAAAAAAAAGACCTAAAATAGGGAAGAATTAGGGCATAACTCCAAAAGTTATGCCAAATCATCGAGCTTGACATTTGAAAAATTTATTTTAACTTTTTGACACAATCAAATTTCACAGATGACAAAATCTGTTTGACAATTTGAAATTGGCGCGCAGAGCTTGCCGACCAATGGTGCCGTTTATCACCTGTGACGTAGTGACCAACCTGCGCAATATCATACCTTGTATTCTTTGTATCATGGTTGGCCACTAATAAAAATAGACCTAAAATAGGGAAGAATTAGGACATAACCTCAAAAGCTATGTCAAGTCATTGAGCTTGACATTTGAAAAGTCATTTTCACATTTATTGTGTCATCAGTTTGACGATTTGAAATTGGCGCGCGGAGCTTGCCGACCAATAGTCCCGTTATCACCTGTGACGTAGTGACCAACCTGCGCAATATCATATCTTGTTTTCATTTTATCATGGGTAAATTGTATGATTTGTCATTTATTTGATGCCGCCTTTTAGTCTAAAATATATTTTACAAAACAATATAAATTGGCTTGAAAAAAAGGCTTTTTTAAAAAAAATTTAAAGAAAAATGTGTTAAATTATTATTCTTGTTAATAATTGCTTGTCAGTATTTACGCGTGTTTATTAAATGTGTTTCAAAATTAAAATATTAAATATAAATATTGTGAATAGTTTAGGAATGTTATAAAATAGCAATCCGTTTTTCAAAAAAAAAACTAACTTTTCATTATTTTTTTTTAAATAAACATTTTTATTGTAATATATTGTAAGCATTGAACTAAACTAACATCAAATCCATTTTTTTTATTTGCTGCCAAAGAACTTACCGGGGTTAGATAGTAAGCCTGTTGGAATACAGAACATTCAACAGAGTATAACTCAGGAGGTAAAATAGTTAATTTTATTAGTTTATTTTTATTAGGTTTACAGTGGTTTTTGGATTATTGATTGTTAGTGTGCAATAGAAATTTCACATACAAATTACATAACCAGTAGGTGTAGACTAGGAATATGCTAGTGCAAATGGATATGAAACATGCATGACAGAACTAATAATACAAGTTTTTAAATTATTAAACAAGATTTGATACAAATTATTCTTACATTTATATACATATCTGATACAGACAGTTTTTAATGAATAGAATAAGTTATAAGATTTTGTTTAATAAGAATTAAAATGAAATTTTAAGTATCGTGTAATTGTATTTTCATATATAATCACGGAATTATGTAACTATAACAGAAGCGACACGGGCGATTAAAGGTGGGTTTTTATGTATTCGTCATTCGATAATACTCATCCCAATCACTGATTGGTCATAGCGTTTTCGCGCCATTTTTCGCACGATAATGGATATTTAGACACTTTTTTGACAAATTTAATCTAACCTTACTGTTTTGATGACAAATTTGGAGCATTCAACGTATCGGGAAATGACAAATTCTTTTTCCAGTTAAAATATATTTTTACATTTTAAATAGCTATAAAAAATAGCGATAAGTAAAACCCTTCAGAATATATAAACAAGGATATTAATTAAGAGTAATTAGCATTATTATAAATTATAAAAAATGTACCAACATATCGAAATAATAATTTCTTTGTTAATACGGTTTAGAATTCTTAAAATAACAGGCAAAAATAATCCACAATCTACAATAAAATAAAAGTTTCGTTTAAATTTCTTAATCAGCTGATCACTATTAAAGTTCGCAGAAACGCGGGGCTATATTATTACATTACTCTGAGGAAAATAACGAAAATAATCGATATTTTTGACTCCGCCCCGAAAGGTTTACGATTTGTCCACCAGCTGGCAGCACATTTCAGTCTTGCCGGTTGAACAAGCGATTCATTTTATCCTATTAACGGAGGCATGAAATGCAATAAATATAAAAATTACTGAATTTTCTAATCACTCGATGTTTTTAAATTTAACCAATAAAATTAACATTGTATCGTATCGTAACACTAGATATCGGACGTATGAAAATCCGCCTATATTCTTGGACCAAGTTTTAAGTATTTGTCATATTTTTGGCTAAAATCATGCTAAAACTTAAACGGCGCGGTTGTCAAATTTTGATTAGTTAATTGTGAATATCAGGGACGAACGTCTAAAAATAGTAATGTAAAAAATTGGGTTTACCTGAATTTTTTTATGAAATTCAAAAAGAAAATACTTTTCAGATTAGTAAAGGTTCCTTAAAAATTTAGTTAATTTTTCTATATTGAGTCTTTTTTAATGATATTTTATTTCATTTGTGTAGAAATAAAAATTTATGCTGAAATAATTGAAAGTCTAGGTTGAGAAGAGAATGCCATTTCTGTCCTCATTTTATTTTTTGCATTTTTATAAATTGTTTTTTACATCAAAATCTAAAAATTATCGTCAAAGACCAGACATTTAAATTTACCTTTTATTATAATCGCCCTAATAATTTTATTTTAAATTGTATTTTTCTTTGAATTTGTATATGTTAGAGGGCCATATGTGGAAACAAACCGTATATAATATACAGGTTGTAAACTGGACAGTTACTTATGGGAACAGAATGGCAACACTGTCTATTGAGAACGCATGCACTTATAGGGTTTTCTGCCTACTCGTCCCGTTGCGTCGTCTATCGAAGAGCGGGTCGAGGTTGCCATATTTCAACCATAAAGCTCTGGCCGCGAGTAACAAACAAATTAACAACTTGTATATACTATATGGCCTAAATTGGCATAGACTGTTATAGATGACATTGTATTTCTTATACGGTCTAAACCGTAAACATATTTATGGACATACATACATACATACCGCCATTACTCGCTGACGAGTATTTGACACGCATCAGAAGATGGTCACGCAAGGCGTTTTCTTTCATGAGCTTTTCTGTGACTGAAAAGCCTGATACGTGATGTTATCTGTCTACCGCTCTCCAGACATTCAAAAATCTCATTGCTTTGTTGCTCTTTACTTTTTGGTTGTCTCTCTTAACTGACTTTACAATTCTTTTCCATTCCGTTCTATTGTGAGCTGCCTCTTCCCACTCATTATGCTGTCTCATTGGCAATTTAAACCATATGTTTAAACAAGGAGATATTCAGAAAGCGTCACTAATCGTTCCACCCTTTTCCATGTTCCATCCTACGTCAAGGCAAATTTGTATTAAAATCTTAATCAAAGAATCATGAAAAAAAGGTTGAAACCAAGACAATCAAACGTCATTCTTGCATCCAGTTGTTCTGTTGCTCTCGACTTCTTTCATTCATAATCAGTGCCTGTCATGATATTTTGCTTATATTTGCACAAATTAGTTTTGATTGATTTCAACCTTTTTTGTGATTCTTTATTTGCTTTAAATACGATTTTGCCTTATATGATAGTTTCACTTGTACAAAAAAATTATATGCCTATTGTGTTTTTTTTAATCTTATATTCATAGTATATGTCCCAGTTGCAGCTAGACCATATATAAATGAACTACACTAGTCCTTAGGCCAGCCAACGGCCAGATCATCAGTGCGTGTTGTATCATTTGATTTAATGGTATTACGTGCGGCAGCGACCAAGCTGCGACTTGGCGTGGACGTTAGTGCGCATTGTAACATTTGATTGGTGGTCGTTGGCTGGCCGCAACGTTTGAGCTCTAAAGGAGTTGACATTACTGTGGCTTCTGTAATAGTTAAGGTATTCTGTGACAATAATTGTGCTACATTACATAGGCTTTGTAGAGCATTTGAAAACGGTGACTTAAGGCGAACGCCCATTGAATTGTTGCCGGCCGGTCGACTTAACTAAGAGCTATCGACGATTTTCACGTTACATAGAAATAAATGTAGCCCCGCGTACTGAATCAGACCGTTCCGGTCAGCAAAGGCGAATGTGACCATCGTAGATATAGACGGCGTCCACTAAAAAAATTCAGACTGTTGGGGCCAAACTCCTATCTCTATATATCTACGATAATCGCTGCTAAAAGCGTCGATAGCTCTTAGTTACGTGGACCGGCCGGTACCAATTCGTTATAAAATATGTAGTTTGTAAAAAGGTATATCGTCGGATTCAGTTAAGATGATTGAATCAAACTGAACATTTCTATGAACGTGTGACGCTGATAAATTCATTCGGTAATTCTCTCCGTTTGGATCTTAGATCATATATACTTACTTGGATAAGTAAATTCGTTTCGTTCTTGCTGAAAAAATATCGACAATCGATTAACTGGCTTTCTCTGTCAAATTCAATTTCTCTGTCTGTTCAATTTTGGATAAAAAACACTCTGTAATCTTAGATGTATTCCTAACGTTTCATTTTTTATGAGCTACACATTTTTAAGTAAAATATTGATTTCAGAGATTCTTTTATTGACAAAAACAATAATTTTATAATAATTTTAATAGCGTGTATGTCCACCTCTCGCAGCAGTAACAGCTCGAGATCATCGTCATATCGAATGAATAAGGGTAGTTATTTTTTCATGATTTATGGTTTGATAAACATCAAGCTATAGAAACCCTTTACAGGAGCTAAACTAGAATTAACAGAGGAATATTCGTTAATGCTAGTCATAGCTCTTGTAAAGTTTGTGGTGGAATAGGACGACGACGAACAGTTCTTTTAAGTTCATTGCACAAACGTTCGATTGGATTGAGGTCGGGACTACAAGGAGGCCGTTCCAATCTTCGTGTAGTCCAGGTACTCGTTAACTACTCGTACCCCTAACTCGTTACCGCGCGCAACATGGGGCCTGGCATTATCGTGCATCAGTATAAACTGATTTCCAATGAAAGGATTAAATGGAATGACAACTTCGGAGGACATCCTCAATATAATGATGGGCATTGAGAGCTCCATTTTCATCAAATTCAAGATTGTAAAAATATACAAAATTAAGATAGTAAAAATATCACAATCATAAAAATTGGATTACAAATTCAAAAGTTATGAAACATCAAACTTAGTCAAAATTTTAGGGTGGCGCAATTTTGTGCCGGGGAGTTTGACTTTTCCGAATAAAAATATTCCGATGCAATCCTTATCTTTCGTGAATCAGAGTATACTGAATATAGGTATCAATTTATAGTAGCTTGTAGTTGTGTAATTTCCAAAAGGAACCTAGTCAGTATATGAAAGAATGATATTTTTATCGTCTTTTGTTAAGACTTTGTAAATATTTGTGTTTTATTGGTTTTCCAGGAACGGTCCAGAGAAGATAATCAAACACCTGCACAAAGACAGGCAGCCGCAAAATTAGCTTTAAGAAAACAACTTGAAAAGACTCTTTTACAGGTATGTCCCAATATTAAAAATACGTCAGTTAGATGGAAATTATCAGCAATTGTTATTTTAGAGGCTACTCTGATGCCTTGTCGATTGTATGCTACTATTTATAATACATATACATATGTATCTATGTATTTATTTAATTGTAGATCCCACCGCCCAAACCGCCTCCCCCAGAGATGCATTTTATTCCTAACCCCAGCAATACAGAATTTATTTATTTGGTCGGTTTGGAACACGTAGTAGATTTTCTTACAAAGGAAACTAAAGTACCTTTACCTCCTCAACCATTCTCGTGTAGCCAATGCAATATGGATTTTACTCCCGTGTGGAAATGGGAAACCAAAAGCAAAAATAAAGGTAAAATGAAAAATCTTGATTTTGTTATTTTATTAGTAATTTTTTTCTTTAGGTCACAGGGTAATCTGTGAGCAGTGTGTTACAAATAATATTAAAAAGGCACTAAAGGCAGAACATACAAATAGACTGAAAACTGCTTTTGTTAAAGCGTTGCAACAGGAACAGGAGATAGAACAAAGGCTGGCACAAGTGAGTATTATTTTTTTAGTATTAACTTATTTTAACAGGCACTATTAATAATAATAAGAATAAGGTAAACATGGTATCGTAAAAAATATAAATTTTTTGTCTCTAAAAGCATCAAAATTGTATAGAAATAAATAATGGATTTCAGTTTATGTATAACTACATTTTATTAATTCCCAAATATACAACACTTTTTTTATATATGTCATTTTTACTCATTGTTTTCTCTGAGCTGCTTTTGATTTTTTACTTTAATGGCAATGGCTCAGTAATTGTTTTTATAGATTTACAATAGAATTTTAAAAGAATTATGGCTCAAAAATTTCATCTTTTACTGATTTACATTATAGGGATCCTGGAGAAAAACACTGGAAGAAATTTCTGAAAAACAAATTAAAAATAACAGTAAGATTTAAATCGGTGTTGAGTGGTGGCAGAGTATATCTTATTTGAACAATGGGTCCATCAATACTGATTTACACTTGTAAATGTATATTTTACTATTAATTTTTTTAGCTTCTCTTTTATACGAGATTTTCTCTAATCAAAACTCTTTTATAACCAGTGGCGCAATTAAACACCGACTTTTAGGGGGGCTCAGCTCACTTAAAAGATAATATTGATTTGAGGTTAATATCAATTTTAAATGACCCTCACCCTCACCAATCATCAGGGGCTAACTTTGTGGTTGCTGGGACCCCCTCAAGTTGCGCCACAGTTTATAACACTTATACCAGTTTACACTCTCAATTTTATTGTTATAATATATAATTTTGCTCTCTGTGAAAGAAGAAATATTGAATATCTATAAACAACTTTTTGTCTATTAGATAACAATCTCGTAACTAAAGACCTCTCGCAGTTGCTTTTCTTTTAAACAAATTTTTTTGTTGATTTTCTATTTTGGTAATTATACTGAATGCTTAATATTTAAATTTAAACCAACACACATTTTTTAAACATTAGTATTAAATAAATATGCATTTGTGGGCTTCCTATTTATGCAACCATAAGCTGGACATATCAATTGTGTTTGTTTAGTTTTGATAATAAATTCATAAATTTAAAATTTATCTTCATATGAGTAAGGGTGTTTTTATGTAATGTAATATAATCTGTGTAAAAGGTAAGAAATGTCAAGGAATGTTGTTAGGTATTAAGATAACAAATTAATATGATAAATGTTTTCTTTCTCTGTAGTTTTTATTGTGGTGCCATCTGGATATAGATTAAAAATAATTAAATAGAAAAATAAATCTTCACAACTATGACTGAGATACTCACCAGATGATTGTTGAAAGGTAGCTTAAATAGAGCTTAAAATACAAGCATTCAGTATTATGACTTTTATATTATACATATAAAGGGTGGTCCAAATTGTATTCGGGAAACTTCGGCAGCATATTTTGCAGATAAAAATATGTAAAAAGTTTGTATAAATGTGTAAAATGGTTTGTTTCAGAGATACAGGATGTAGAAGTTTCATTTTTACTTCGATTTCTACCAAATAATTTCTGAGCTAACGCCGATATTTTGATGACATGAGCAATTTGATTTCTATGTTAATATGACGCGCCACCGACATATTTTTTGACTGGTTTGAAGTTTAATAACTTTTCATCCCTACCTGTATAAAGCTACTGAGTAATAAAATATACATTTTCGCCGTTTTTTATGTAAAAAGGGCCTTTTGGCAAAAATCGCTATGACTAATGGTTCTCCAGATATTTAATCGAAGTAATCAATACATCAGTTAAAAAATAAACATTTTGAGTAGATAGTTATTTGCCTGAAATTATAAATATGGGAACTTTATTTGTTTAAATTAATCATATTTTTCTAGAAAAAATTTCTATTTGGAACAAAATAATTTCAAATTTATGATTTCAGTCTATAAAATGTTTTTTTGTCAATGATGAATGATGATGGTGTCAATATTTCGAGAACCATTATTCCATCATTATTCTTAGCGATTTTACCAAGAGACTTTTTTACGTAAAAACGGCGGAAATGTATAGAATGTTCAGCCGTCGTTCACCGTCACGTCATATATTGTCGAACTCTCTCTTTCATTTGACAACCAGATTAAAGAGATTGGTGACGTCATTACGGCATTTCGTTAATTACTGCATATTCTTTTTAGCAATTGTCATTGTCATTTGATTTGGGGTTATAATTTTATTAACGGACATCAATCAGTGTCAAAATTAAAATTTGATTGTTGCTGTAAAACAAAATTCAAATTTTTTATTGCAAAAATGCTTCAAAAATTTAACCAAAACGAGCAAGAGTTCATTGCTAAGCTTGCTGGAGATTGCTGGTAGAACACTCTTGCCCGTGGACGCCGCGCCGTATATAAGATAAGTAATGCACATGTGTTATATTCCTATAATATATAAAATACAAATTAATGGCGTTTTTAAATAATATAGCGAGTTGCTGATGCTTTAGAAATAGAAATTTCAACAGTCCAAAGGCTTGGAATTAAAAGGATTGTAACTGATGAAGAGTTCAAGAAAAAATGAATAAATTCCAAAAAAATGGAACTCGCTCAATTAGTAATATAAAAACGTACTTTTCTAAACAATATGAACTGATCTCAGACACCCTAAAGCTTATATTTGACAAATAATGATGACGTAGCGGTGAACGTTGGCTGAACAGTATATTTTTTTATTCAGTAGTTTTACACAAGTATGGACGAAAAGTTATTATTCTTAAACCATTTAAAAAATATGGAGGTAGAGCCCCCTACAAGTAAGGGTCATATTGAAAACACTCCCAAACATCAATTTTTATCCAAATATCGACATTAGTTGGAAAAATTATTTGGAAAACAGTTCTTCACCCTGTATCTCTGAAACGAAACATTATAGGACATACATTAATATGAACTTATTTACTTATTTTTATTCTTGAATACAATTCGGACCACCCTTTATAGTATATTAAGACTGTATAGTTTAGAACATATTCTTTCATTACCTCGGCATTATCTCATAGATTTAAGCAAAGTATAACATACTCTTTTTTCAGAATGGTTCGTTTTCTTCAAGCAGTCCGGCACCTTCGCCATCATCAGAGTCAGTACCAAAATCAGTCACTCCTACGCCATCTCGTCATGCAGCAACTCCCACTCCGCCCGCACCACCACCCCCGGCTCAGCCAACTCCCCCACCACCACCACCCAGAAGTTCGCATCAATCATCGCAGTCTGCACAAGATAAGTACAGCGCACAGAACGCTGCCGCTATGCAAGCGCTTCATCAGCAACTCTTGAGAAGTAAGTAATGAAATGTATATTCAGACAGTGTTAATATACAAGTTTCATAAAATATCTTTTAAATAAAATCTTTGACAAAGAAATTTGATAGTGTAATAATAGTCTTACTCTACTTTGTCTTTGCAGGTATAACTCAAGGAGGACCGCCGGCAGCGCATCTGATGCAGTTTTCTCCACTTTTCTATCCATACCAATTAGTCATGGCGCAGGCACAAGCCGCAGCCAATAGCGGAAAGAATAGCGGGGTTACGCCTAACATTGCTGAACAGATGCAGAGGGCTGCTGATCTACAAAGGCAGTACTTACTAGGTAATATTTACTAAATATTTGTAATATTAAATTGTTAGATTTAGTGCAGTTTAATTCATGAAATATAAAGATTGCATTAGAATTTGTTTAATTCAGAAAAGTAATTGCAAAACTCTGTTTTCTAGTTTTTATAAAGTTTTAGGATTACTTGAATAAGCAATAATTTTTACAAAACGGCAACGTTCATTTTTCAATCCCCACTTCAAGTTCCTTAATTTAAAAACTAACCTGGATTTTTTTTATTTCGTGATTAAGTGCCCTTCATAACTACAAAATAAATTATGATATGATTGATGAAGCATACCATTTGATTTTTATTTGAGAAAATGAGCATTACCAGGATAATTTCAAAACAACGCCATCTAATGGTCACAAAGTAATCATAGTACAGTTTATAGTAGAGCAAAAAATGCCGTTTTTTAATATCAAGTTGAATAACATCTGTTCGTCTAAAACAGATATATTAACATTTGAACTTAAAAATGTGTAACCTTCCCCACCACTTAATGACAAAAGTTGCCTGAAGGAAGAAGGTGCGCAATTGGTTAAAGAACACACGGCACTTATATTTTCACACAGCATCCAACACATTTCAACTAGAAAAATCTATTATCTAGGGACTTCAGATTTTGTATTGTAATGCCCACTAGCGGCCACCTTTCGGACTTGAGAATAATTTACTGCTATTTCCCTTGGTCGATTTACCTACAAATATTTTTTCCTGAAGTTCTACGGGGGTGGTCTTAAAAGGTTCCGACCTAACAAAGATACAAGCCATTTTTTCTCAATATTTTTTTAATTTATTTTCCAACATAGTTTCCTTGTAACTCTACATACTTTTTCCAGCGATGCTCCCATCTCTGTAACCAGTGTAAATAGCACTCGGCGTTTTTCTCTGCAAAATAGTGGTTTACGAAGGTGATTGCCTCTTCACTTGACGAAAATTTCTGTCCTCCGAGTGCAATTTTTAAATGAGGAAACAAAAAGAAGTCGCTTGGGGTTAGATGTGGTGAGTAAGGCTGCTGGGATGGTCAAGCAGCTCAAACCATAATTCGTGGATCGCCATGGCACCCGCTGAGGTGTGAGATGGTGCGTTATCTTTGTGAAACAGGATTTTCTTTTTCTGTAATTGTCGCATTTTTTTAGCAAGTTCTGATTTTAGCTTGTCAAGTAATGAAGCTTAGTGTGCTCCTGTGATGGTTTTTTCTTTTTGAAGATAATTGATTAAAATAACTCCATGACTATCCAAAAAACAGTCTTTCCTTCACTCAAGCCTTCACTCAAGCCATCACTTTCCCAGTCGAAACAGTTTTTGTTTTTTTTTGGAGCCGGTTCTCCCTTTGCAGTCCACTGTTTGCACTATATTTTTGTTTCTGGCGTATAATGGTGTATCCAAGTTTCATCTACAGTAATTAATCGACGCCAAAACTCGGATTTATTGCGCCTAAACTGCAAATGTTCATTCGAACACGCTTTTGATATGCGACAAACACGTTCTTTTGATATGTTCATAACCTCTGCTTTTCAGACCACCCTCGTATCATTAACAGTTGCTGGGCTACAGCCGACGACATCCTGTACATATATTTTTTTGTTTTAGATATGATTCCTCCCACAGCTGGTCAGCGACACAACTGGAAAACGTGATGTGATTAACGGCAAATTGTGTATTAGTTTAAATTGCTGATAGCAAAGCAAAAAACTTAGTTCTTAAGTTATAATATGACGTGGATGTATTTAAATTTTCATAATGAAAAGTTATTTTGTGTTTCCATTAACGGCGTTATACTATGACAACATTAAGCGACTTTTCGCGACATACTTTTCTTAGTTGGATATGTAGTGTATGTCGTAAATTTCTGTTTGTGCAAAAAATATAGCAACATTTTTGTCAATTAGATGTCAAATGACATACCCGGACATTAACTATCTCGGCACTAGAGTATGTATGTTAAAAGAAATGATGGATAATTCGGATTTAGCACACATTTTATAATAAACTATATGAATGGTGAAGAGACTATTTGTTGGAAGTCGATCTAAAAACGACGAACCATCTGCAGAAAATTACGAAAAAAAAATACATTACGCATTCTCATGGTTACATAAGCTATCAAGTAGTGGCGAGCACATACCCAGTAACATTTGTATGTCGTGAAAAACCTTTATTGTGTTGCAATATAATGTAGAAAATTTGTGATTTATGATGCTAGTGTGTCGGTAATAGGCGTATTTTCATGATTACTGGGATTTATGTTGATTTTGTTGAAACAATAATTTTTCGAAAATACTTTTCAAAGAATATTTTTATTTTTTAACATCTCAAAAAATGTAACGCAAGTAAATCAGGCTTTTTTTGGTTAATGGCATTACTTTTTGTGTGGTATTTTAATTATCTGAACATGGGGAATTTGCCCAATATATAGTGTAATTACAAGTCCTTTAAATGTGGACGATGACATATTTCAGTTTGTTTATTACACTTTTTGGATGCAGACCATGGTACATGTTACAAGGAAAAGAAGGTATGATTTATAGCGGCTCCAAATTCGTTCAGTTTGCGCATATCACCTGTGACAAAAAATCCATATTGTTCAATTGCCACTAATAAAAAAGACTTAAAATAGGGAAGAATTAGGACATAATCTCAAAAGTTATGGCAAATCATTGAGCTTGACATTTGAAGTCATTTTCGCATTTATTATGTATTACCAGTTTGGTTTGGTTTGGGCGACCATAGGTGCCGATATCACATGTGACGTAGTGACCAATTTGCACAATATCATACTTTGTTTTCTTTGTATCATGGACGTAGACTATTTTGGAAAAAATTATATGTATATGGATTTTTAACAAAATTAAAAATAATTTCAAAATCAAGCCTTTATTTTTCTTCCTTTTTGAAAGAAAAAGGAATTTTTACATAGTCATTTATTATAAGTTGTGTGGTATTTTAGGTATATACATAGAATGATTTCAAATATCAAAATTGTTTTAATATCTTCAACTAAAATTTTTAATTTTCAGTTTTATTGCAGCTAAAGTAAACTATTTTTGAAAAAAGATAGTAAAATAATATTATATTAAATTACATCATTGTTGTATTATTTATTTACAGACACCATATTTAATTTATATTTATTATATTAATGTTTCTAACAATGCGAAACTTGAATTGCCGAATATGTAATTTAATATATTAGTTATTTTAATATTTATTAAAAATATATGGGTATTGTGTTCAACACATCCCCCGTATTATAGCAAAATTTGTGTATATAGATGTTTTGAAATGAAATGTATAAAATAGTCGTTAGGATAGTAAGTTAATAAATAAATGGTGCATTTTATGCTCACATTTTCCATATTTTTTGAGGGATACATTTTATATCCCGATATTTTTTAGGAGATAGTGATCGGTAAAAAGTTTCTTAAAATAAACTAGTAACCGAAAAGGGGCTAAGTCTGCTTTCGTTATTTAGTTTTATGGGAAATATATACAGGTTGTTTAACCCTCTCATTTAAATTTTGAAGATTGGACAGATATACATATATAATTATAATGAATGGAATTAAACTAAGCTATACATACACAATACCTTTTATCAAACGCTCAAGACGTCTTTACAGCACAAAATATTTTTTTGTTAAGTGTAAAACATACATATTTTTTTAATATTTAATTAGTTAATGGACAAGGTAAAACATCCTGTAGTGTCTTAATTCTGTTGTTTATGTTTTGTATAAACATGTCTTTTCTCTGTATATTGTGTATAGTAATTTACAGATATAAATGGGTGTAGAAGTCATTTTTTCGAACTACAGATAAATTATTTTTTTCGCTAATATTGTTTAATACAATAGTCACAATAGTATTATTAATCTTCACAATGACACTATGTACAAGTACAATTTTAATTTAAAAGAATCATTGTTTTAGTAATATTGTATAGTGGGATACATTGAAACCTAAAGCGATTTTTTGTTGATTCATTTTCTTTATATAAAAATTAGTTTGATTTTTACGTCTTCTTTTTTACAAGCGTATAAAGTGCAGGGGGTCACAGCGGTTTCGATGACGTATAAACCATTGGAAATTTTAGTGCTGTTGTCAGATGGTACTTATCAGGTTATTGTTGCCCAAATTGAAGTTTATGAAGAGAATGAAAGAGAATATTTATTACGATCATTCACAATGTTTAAAAATTAGGGCCGTGTATTTTGCGCGCAATCTAAAAAAATCTTATCTCAGAGATTAACCAACGTAATAGCCCTAGGAGTTAATAGCCCTAGGTTTTGATAGCTATTACCGACAGCTGTAAAAAAAAATAAAAACATCTATATTCTTTGAATTCGAAACCTGGAAACCTCGATCCCGAAGCGACCTCCTTACTAATGGAGTCGCAGCTGCTTTTGTAACCAGGCCATAGCTAGGCATTATTTAGTTCTACCGTTCAGTCGAAGACAGCTACGCATGCGGAACTGTGGGTTGTAACGTGGCAACGCAGCAAGCGGTAGCTCCCTGCACTTTAGAGGCTAAGTTCTTTTTTTCTGGTTTCAACCAAAGACGTCTAAATAAAGGGAGACAAAACTATTTACATTTTATGGCGATCAAACATCTTTTTCAACAAAAATCGTTGATACAAACTACTGCGGATTGCGTTAGGTAAAATATGTTGTTAAGGCGTGTTTACACGTACGTTTTAGTGGCGACAAAAGGTCTTCTGAAATTTACTTGCGTCAGTAGTGATTCATAAAAATGTCTATACCTATATGGCGGATTCATCTATCCAACAAAATCCTATATGGGTATTTCGCCACTGCACTGCAAGAAAATCTACAAAATAAAATAGTTATTTTTTGTAAACACTTCTGCGTTAAACCCATACGGAAACTACTTGTCTTATGTTTACAGTTATACAAATTTGCCTAACAAAGAAAAAAATGCTTAACGTTTCGGAAAGTTTATCTCTTTCCGTCGTCGGAAGCAAAAAAATACACAGAATAAAGAAGAAAACTATTTAAAATATTTAAATTAAACTATTCGAGAACACTTTAGTTTTTTTAAAACAGATAGGTACGTCTACAAGAAACCGTTGGGTTCTGTTAAAATGACATTATGAAACAATGGTTTCTTGTAGACGTATCTGTTTTAAACAAACTAAAGTGTTCTCAAATAGTTGAATTTAAATATTTTAAATAGTTTATTTCTTTATTCTTTGTATTTTTTTTTGCTTCCGCATTGCTTAAGCATTTTTTTCTTTGTTAGGCAAATTTGTTTAACTGTAAACATAACTTCTGACAAGTAGTTTCCGTTTGGGTTTAACGCAGAAGTGTTTACAAAAAATAACTATTTTATTTTCTAGATTTTCTTGCAGTGCAGTGGCGAAATACCCATATAGAATTTTTTTAGTGATTCATGCAGTAAACAAAATAAAATTGCACGTAGCATGTCTAAACGTATTATATGAATTTATATCTTTGCTCGCCAGTTGCTCACCAGTTTCATTTTTTTCTTCTGTTGCATTTTGTTAATTATTTTTTTACTAACAATCTACATGCAATTCTACAACCGTCCTAATATAGTTCTTCAATCGACATATTGTACTATTTTTGATTTCTTTCGGAGATTGCGCTCATTTTACTGTCTTAAAACTACATAGAAATAAACTGGCTCAACAAAAGTTTTGTCTGTGGGCAATATAGTGTAAACCTTCATTGGTGTACAGTTGAACTGGTATTGTTACTACCTAACCTAAAACCTAGGTTACTACCTAACCTAAAACCAATAAATCCATGCATGTGTACACCCGCCTTTATTGTTATTAATGCTTTTTTTGGATACCTATAGAAATAGAAACGCCGGCGCCGGCGCCGTACTAAATAATATGTGTGGGGTGTAGGTATCTCACTTTAGTTAAAATACATAGATTATACCTTTGAAATTATTTTTAGTTTTCTAATTAAATTAAATTAAAATTTATTAGGGAAGTAACTGTGACAACGCTGCTTCATGAAAACCGTTTGGTTTCTATGGTTTTACGTGTTTACTATGAGTACCTAATACATAAGTTTGATAGATTCATTCAAGTTATGTTTAACAGTGTTGCTGGGGGGTGTTTGTGAACTTTCTTTCCCAAGTCATATTAACTGTTTTTCTTTGCAAAAGAACTGTTTAAAGAATTTTTAAATATCTAAGATGGTTCGTCAGTGCTTAGCTTACAAAAGTTGGACAATTCTAGTTCCAAATTGATATTTCGACGATAAGTGACGTTACGTATTTTTTATCTTAGGTTCTGTACCTAATTCAAGTTTTAAGTAGGTTATTACAAAAAAGCATTATTGAAAATAATTATAATACCTATACGATTAAAAAATACCTATACGATTTTTATGGACTTCATATCTTGAATTCTCATGTACCATTCTATAATAGAGAAACAACATAACCATTGCACACTATATAATATAAATTAAAATTATTTTTTACGATTGTTGATAAAAAAACAACACGTAACTTATAGACCAAAAAGACAGAAATGCACACGAAACCCAACAGCGTTGTCATACTTATGTACCCATCTCTTTTTAAAATATAAAATATAAAAGTGTTAAGTATGTATGATTGTAAAGTTTACAATCATACTTACTTTTAATGGTATTTTGTGAATGGAGTCTTTTGGCTCTCCTTTTTATTTAGATGTCTTGGTTTCAACCAACTGGTGAAAATCGTCTATTTATTTTCAGTTAAATTGTTTTTTTTTATGAAAATGTGGATATTTTGTTATGACAATTTATTGCGTCGTCGACTTTGGTTTTTATAATTTGGTATGTTT